GCTGTAGACCTAGTTCAGCTCTGAACGTAGGTTTCATTATCGCCCTGTATGTTCAGGAACCGTTCTATTGAATCCTTATCGAAATAGAATCGGTTCCCAGTCAATTTTACTGGGCAACTTTTTACTGCTAAACAGTCGTGTGTCAGTCTCTATGAACGCCTGAACAATATCAAGGAACATTTTAGTGAGAAGATAAGACCTTGCTTACCTCGCTAGAGTAAGTATGTGCAACACAACATGCTGATAAAAATCTGTCCCCTTCTGCTAAACGGCTTTGGCGGATGCCATTGAGGTATAGAGGAGGGGCTTTTGGGTGATTTTAATTAATTTTACAAATTTTTAAACAAAGATTTGATATTGAATGAATGTGGAAGAAATTAGTGCTAAATACACAAGATTAAATGATACCCGGATTACAGTGCAACCTGGCTAACAAAGAAAGGAAATAACGATGTTTAAAATATCTAATACATACCTGCCAAAATGTCCTATGGTTATCATCACGGTCTCCATGACTAGTATATTATTATCAGATTTGGCCTTGAGTAATACATCTTTTAAATGTATAACAATAAGTTTATTAATCTCACTAGGATTATCTGTATCGGGTTGTTTAGATTTATCGACCAGGTAACAAATAACTTCACTAAAACAAAATTATAACCCATCTACTAGTCAGTTTATTTAAAGCGATAGTTGTATTTTTTAAAACCATATGTTTAAAACATGTTAAAATAAGGCTTTAAATACATGGAATCTACACAACCCTACCTTATAAAGGTATAATATTAAATTCACGAGTGCCATTTGATAAATCGCCAAATATATCATTTTCAAGTTAAAACATTAACGTTGAGCTTTGCTAATTCCATGGAGCGTATAGAAAACATGATCCCGATTGTCAATTTTACCTGCCACAGGTAAATTTTTAACAGGTAGATTTCCGCTGTTCTCCACGAGTAGTCGTAACTTTACGCCAATAAAACAAACTGTGACATCATTTTAGTCCTTCTGCACATATTCTAGTCTACATTTCTATGAGCAGAAGGACTAAAATAACGTCACAGCTTGGTTTTTTTTGGAGGAAAGTTACGACTACTCGAGGAGAACGGAGGAAATCACCAAAGTTGAAATTTACCTGAGGCAGCTAACATTGACATTTGGGATGGTTGCTATACTTATGGACAGGATATGTTGAAATAATTAATTGTGTTAATTAAAAAATTAGGAAGCTTTAACACTTTCACTGCTGAACTTAAACATAATGGATTACATCCCTTGATGAGCATCTTTAGACAGAATACCAAGATTTGATCAAGACAATAGGCCGTAAAAACAGAGATCATCATTCTTAGAAGTAAAAATGTTAAATGGTGGGGGTCACGGTGGCTATCTGGGTAAGATCCCTGCATTGCCCGAGAAAGTTCATCTCGATTTTCCGACATGGTTTCCCTTGTGCCTGACAAGGACAACTGTCTAGTCGTTCGGATGGGACAAAAAAACGAGGTCCTGTGTACACATTGGCGTGCACGTAAAAGATCCCTTGACAGTTGGAATTCGATATAAGAGTAGGCTGTAGTGCCGCTGTCCGGGCAAAATTTCCCTCATGCCACACTTTATGATATATAATTGCCTGTCTTCTTTAGCCCAGTTGAAGCAGAACAGTAGGACGTTAAATCCCCATTTCATTTCATTTTGTTATATGGTGGTATACGGTAGTATATGGTAGTATACCTGAATTCTCTTCGTACAAAATATGCTGGATCTTGTGTTAAATTAAGACATCTACGCAACATGGCTAGATAAGTTTTAGATTGACATGACGTATCCATATGATTAAACAAAAACTTTAAACTACTCACAAAATCTGAAGAAAGAAAAATCAACAATATTATTTTTAAACCAAGAAGAAAAAAAAATCCATATCATTTCACATCTTTGTTCTTAAAGGTTATTTACATATCACATTCGAATGTACGAGAATTAAGGTCGCCTGTCCAACCATGTGGGTTTTCTCCGGGTCCTTTGGTTTCCTCCAACTGCTAAAGACCCCTACGTGCAAGCAAATTATTTAAATAAAATTAAACCATATGTTAGTCCCGAAATGACCTAGTTTGTGTTGAGTGGTCTTTAAACCCATTTCTCTCTCTCTTGTAGGAGAATTGTACACTCAAGCTCTGTGTGAGTTAAGGTTTGATATTATGAATATCTGACATGCAATTTGCTTTTAAATTAATTTTAAACTCTGGCTTTAATTTCAAATTTCTTTATTCTGAGATTTTGAACTACACTGTAAGTTAAATCTGGTCGTATGTAGATATTTTGGGTAAAGTAAAAAAAATAATACTCACCAATCTTAATAGCCGAGTTAGTAGAAACTAAAGATGATTCCATCTGCATGAAAGGACTAAATATTGTAATATCTATAGGCTTGTTCTTCTCAATATTATCCTTATGTATTCCATCAGATCCTGTAATAGAAATAATACTCAGTCAACTCACCCTGCTCGATTATTAGTCAGGAACCGTCTGAATTGATGAATTGAAATGGAGTTTATAACGTCCTACTGTTCTGCAACAAAGGGGCTAATGAAACAAAGGGGCAATGTGCTATGAGGGAAATTTTACAAGGACAGCAGTGTTTTAGCCTATTCTCGAGCCTTCATTGAACTCCAGCTGCCAAGTACACACGACCATGGTTTACTGTCCCATCCGAATGATTAGACAATGTTCCTTGCAAGGCCATCCGATCCTGTAATAAACATAATATTCAGTCGACTCTCCTAGCTCGATTATTAGGCTGAAATGTTCTGAATTGACAGAACTGACAAAATGAAATGGAGTTTACACTGTAACCTAGGAATCGTTTAATCTTGTGTATCTAGCACTAATTTCTTTCACATTCGTTTAATACCAAATCTTTGTCTAAAAATTCATAAAAATCGTTTAAAATCACCAAAAATCATCTAATTTGTACATGTGTCCAGTTTAAAGCTGACTGATTAATTTTGATAATGAGTGCCCAATTTACAAGTATTTAATTTCCTGATCACTGCTCAAAAATTAATCATTATACATCATTAATCAATTGGGTTGTTTATTTTTAACAATGATTGAGAAATTAAACACTTGTAAATTGGATACTCATTATCAAAATTGAATGGTCAGCTTTAAACTGGATAGAAGTACAAATTAAACAATTTATGGTGATTTTAAACAGTTTTTACAAATTTTTAAACAAAGATTGGATATCAAACCAATGTGAAAGAAATTAGTGCTAGATACACAAGATTAAATGATACCTGGGTTACAGTGTTAACATCCTACTGTTCTGCACCAAAGGGACTAATGATACTCGGTATATGCCATGTAGTGTGCTATGAGACAAATTGTGAAAGGACAGCAGTGTGTCAGCCTGCTCGTCAATCTCCAGCTGCCAAATACACAGGACCATGGTTTACTGTCCTATTCGAACAACTAGACAATGTTCCTTCCAAGGCCGACTGTTTTGCACCACTGACAAGGGGAAACCATACTGACAAATCAAGAGAACCTTTCTTGACCAACACTAGAATTGAACTAAACCCAAATAGATATTGTAAAGAGAGAGAGAGAAATGGGGTTTAACGTCCACTCGACACAAACTAGGTCATTTCGGGACTAACATATGGTTTAATTTCATTTACACAATTCTCTTGCGCGTAGGGGTCTTTAGCAGTGGGAGGAAACCGGAGGACCCGGAGAAAACCCACAAGGTTGGACAGGCGACCCTACTCCTTGTCACGTACAACCGGGGAATCGAAACCACGCCAGTTGACTCAATGACAGACTTTATGATACAGCGCGCGCACGCTAACCATTCAGCCATCCAACCCCCCAAGATATTGTAAATACCAGTAACTATATCATCTTGCAACATTTTTATTACACCATCTCTTCCCCCTAAACAACTCTTTTCATTCCGCCATATTCTCACCTACCGGTACCCGCTTCCTCTCGCGCATGCGTACATCTCTCTAGCAGACGACATACACACAAACCGTTATACATGTAAACAATACAGTTGACAAGGTTAACACATATATTACGAAAGATTTTTGAATTTTTAAAAAACAAAAACAATATTTATTCACAGATACTGGAGTGGAAAACAGACAGAATCCTATAGACCCCCCTCTCCATTCTTAAATGTACTTGTTCTTACCTTGTGGACCACAAATTGAGCACTGAATGGTTGAATGTTGATAAAATGGTAAACAACTTTGTCTATACATCTCACTATAAAAAAACAAAAACAAGAAAATAGGGTATTTTTCTAGACTAATCACAATTATATTTGAGTTCATAAATTTACAATCAATTATAAGTTTTGAGGTTGCAATAGATTAGAATTTCTTCTGACCTATTAACACACAAACCAACAATCTTTATTAAGTTTGATTTCACTACAGCAAACAGTGAAGGCTGTGCCACATTTAACTCTGTCCTAGTTAGAACTGACCTGACATGTGCAATGCTAGGGAGGAGGATTCACCATTGACAGCAGCCTTTCGCCATACCCTTGTATGGTAGGGTAGTGCTATGCAGGGTTCTTATCCATTTTGAGAGAGAGAGAGAGAATGGGGTTTAATGTCCACTCAACACAAACTAGGTCATTTCGGGACTAACACATGTTTCAATTTTATTTCAATAATTCACTTGCGCGTAGGGGTCTTTAGCAGTGGGAGGAAACCGGAGGACCCGAAGAAATCCCACAAAGTTGGACCGGCGACCCTACTCCTAGTCACGTACAACCAGGGAATCGAAACCCTGCCAGTTGACTCAATGCCAGACCGTATGATACAGCACGCGTGCTAACCATTCGGCCATCCCCCCCCCCCCCTTATCCATTTTGAAACAAACCAGCCAGAATTGGTTCAAATGAGATCCCGTAGAAAATGGGTTAATTCTAAGCTTCCATTCCCTTTAATACAGTAAAAGATATATAGCTACTGTCTTACCAGATTCTAGACGTAGTTCGAGCAATTATACATGGTAGATACTTTAAACAATAAACAATGCAAGCTTGGATTTCAGCTTCTTTAAACTTAAGTTGAGGACTGAAAAAAAAAAGTTATTAAAACTTGAGTTAAAAAAAAAGAAAAAATTAAATAGTTGAGGACAGCTACTCCAAGTTACACTTTTATCAATCAGCCAGTATCTGGTCTTCTGAGTGATATGTGCTACCCCTTTTTGCTGCCTACTACATACCAATGCTTGGGATCGAAGGGTAGAAACTCCTTTTAATTCTATATGCCTTAATATATTTGAAAGTATCTGATAGAAAGACAATTGTCAGGATTCTCAAACTAAATATTAAAAAATAAACAGTTTGTATGTCTTATTGTAATAAACAGTTTATATGCCTTACTGTAAAAAACAGTTTATGCCTTACTGTAATGAACAGTTTATATGTCTTTACTGTAATAAACAGTTTTTATGTCTTACTGTAATAAACAGTTTATATGTCTTATGGTAATAAACAGTTCATATGACTTACTGTAATACACAGTTTACATGCCTTACTGTAATAAAAAGTTAATATGTCATACTGTAATAAATAGTTTATATGTCTTACTGTAATAAACAGTTCATATGCCTTACTGTAATACACAGTTTATATGTCTTACGGTAATAACAGTTGATATGCCTTACTGTAATACACAGTTTGTATGCCTTACCATAATAAACAGTTTATATGCTTTACTGTAATAAACAGTTTATATGTCGTGCTGTAATAAACAGTTGATATGACTTACTGTAATACACAGTTTACATGCCTTACTGTAATAAAAAGTTTATATGTCATACTGTAATAAATAGTTTATATGTCTTACTGTAATAAACAGTTTATATGCCTTACTGTAATAAACAGTTTATATGTCTTAATGTAATAAACAGTTTTATATGTCTTACTGTAATAAACAGTTTTATATGTCTTACTGTAATAAATCTTGAATTAAATGGGTACTATTTGCACCAAGCGTTTGAATTAACATTGGTAATCCTCTAATGGCCGCAAAATGTATTTTACTTCCTCTCTCACTCTGAAATAATATCATACATTTATATACTTCAAATGAGAAATGGAAGTGAATTAACGTCTCAAGTGAGGTAGTGAGATATACAACCCAATATATCAGGCAAACTCAATTTCAATAATTACAATCATTGTACTTTTATTTCCATTAAATATGCCAGTTTATGTCATAAATTTTGAAAGTGGCAAAAAAAATAAAACTTTTCTGTAGGCTTACATGGTTAAATATACATTATTTAAGAGCTAAATCTGCCCATTGCAGGTCTTTTTTAAGGCCTGAAATGTTATATAATTAGACATTTATTAACATAACAAGGCCATAAGCAACTCTCGATGCCATCTAATGTGTCCGATTTTCAACAGATTTGAATCCGATCCGCCGTAGATGATTAACCGTAAAATTGTATAATTTAAATTTTCAGCATATCCTCTGTACATTATCTATTTTTTTTAACTATTATAGCACCACTGATAAGGGGAAACCACCCTGGAAAATCCTGATAAACTTTATCAGCTAATGCAGGGATCGAACATGCAACATCCAGGCTAGCGAGCCAGTGTCTTACCCTCCGCGGTCCCCTTCTGTACTTCAACAATAACACATAGTTTGTGAAGAATAATAAGAATAATACATGGTTTGTGATGGGTTTTAAATATCAAAACATATCTAAAAGGAAATAAAAAATAAAAATGTACCATAGCTTGTTCAAATATATGTATTCTCCATTGTGATGCTACTTCTTTTGGTAGAAGAGTTAAAATTGTTAAACATCTACAAGTTACATCTTCACCTAAAAAAAACAAACCAAAAAACAACAAATTTCAGTCAAATATTGATATAATGTTTATACAATGGGAAGGCATAACAATTCAAGGCCTTTCTGTAAACTTTTGAGGACAAAGGAACAAGGAATTGAGGAATCAAAAATGTTAAGTGGACTGGGGTATGCCCAAGAGAAAGATTTTCAAAAGTTTTTTGAAGGACTTCTGCTGAAATGCACTCGTTTATATTGGTAGAGTGTTTTTTAAGAGACAATAAATCCTTACAATTAATTATAGATATAGTATATCGAGCAACTTTAGGTGTGTTTGGACATTAGCTGCACTATCAAATTAATTTATAATTTGTATCATTTTATTACGAACCTAGTTTTTCAGATAACATATAGCTGATGTTGGCCACATCTTTTGGTCGCGATGGTCGTAAATCAAGCCATTTTGGATCATTCTATAAAATAAACAACATAGACTTCTGAAAGAGAACTAGTTCAATTACTAAATGCCATTGAAACAATCTGATTAAAACACAGATTCTATTTCGTTTTGTGTCTTTTTTATAGTTCAAAATTTCGTTTTACTTGTTTTACTACACAAGGATCTGGAAGAGTTGTTATCACTGACGTGTTCTGAATGGTGTGAGGGATTGGCCAATTGAAACAGTCTGTTACGGCGAGCTTTAGGCGTGTTTTGCACGGAACTGTGGGTAATCCACTAGTAACATCAATGCTGATTGATTAATCAAATGTCTGACGTCACAAGGTCAAAACCTGCTTATATGACCTCTGACACGACCTATCACTACAACCGGTAAGATCTTCATGTAGTGTCGAAAGTATAAAAAACCGAAACGAAATATAGATCTGTATATTAATCAGATTGGCGATTGAAACAATTTCCACCTGTACACAGAACGATGACTAACACTAGCTAGGAAAGTTGTAGTTTACAATAAGAGTTGGGAATCTTATATACTTACAGCTAACCACGGTAAGGATAACATCCATGTCAATTCTTGTAAAATCTTGTTGTCAATCAAATTACATTCTGTAATATAAAGACGAATTCAACATACATTATGCAAGAGGTAAATCTGCCTTTTGCAGGTCTTTCTTTAGACCTGAAATGTTATCTAAATTATTAATTAGACAATTAACTTATTCAACTCTCGATGTGATGGCTAGACTGCGATGTTTATTGGATTAGGTTCACTATTTGCTGTTCGACTTCCATTCATAATCTAATCATGAAATGGATAATCGAGACCATATTTTTTATCGTACCGATTTTAGTAATGATGATCGAGGCTAGGCCGAAAATTCAATCACTAAAGTCTCAGTTCAAAGTGGATCAATTTGACTGAAATTTTCAGCAAATTCCCTTTACATTATCCAGTTTTTAGCTGTTATAGTGACAACTGTCAGCTCTTTATCTAATCTCCCATAATATTTCTTTAATGATTTAAAGAAAGTGACACAGCTCAGTAATTTCCACTGTTGTCCTTATCACAGGGTTTACAGAACATAATTTTACTTGTGTTTATCACCGCACCATCAACTGTTTTGAAAAGTCCAAATGCAAAACACAGTATTTTCATTTTAGACAAACTGTTTATGTTATAAAAATGTTTCCTGTGCTTTGTTGTTGCATCTCCACTCTCCAAGATTTAACGTCCTACTATTCTGCTCCAACTGGGCTAATGAAGATGGGCATTCGCCATACAGTGTGTGATGAGCGAAATTTTGCCTCTACAGCAGCTACGGCCTACTCTTACATAGAATTTCAACCGTCAAGGGATCTTTTATGTGCACGACAATGTGTACATGGTACCTCAGTTTTTCGTCCCATCCTAACGACTAGAGAACTGTCCTAGTCAGGCCCTTCATCCGGCACCACTGACAAGGGTAAACCAGGCTGGAAAATACCAATGAACTTTCTCAACCAACTCTGGGATCGAGTGAGCGAACCCCAGGCTAGCAAGCCAACCTCTTACTCACTTAGCCACAGTGGCTTCCGAAAATGGTAAAAGAAAGTGAACTAACCGAACAATAGCAAAGCACTTTTACAAATATTGCTAGAAATAAAATGAACTAACCTAACTATATCAAATCACCTTTACAAATATTGCTAGAAATAAAGTGAACTAATCTAATTATATCAAAGCACCTTTACAAATATTGCTAGAAATAAAGTGAACTAACCTAATGATATCAAAGCACCTATAGAATCTGTTATAATAATCAAAGTTTTATTTATATCAGGTAAACTTATATCTTCGATAGCTAGTTTCAGGTAATTAGACCAATAGTTAATTATATTCATTAATAAATCTTGATTAAACATCTCACATACATCACTGAAATAGAAAAATAACTTTTTTATTCTACAAAGATGTTTTGATTTTATATTCAGTTGGAGGTCCTGATCTAAAGTGACACCTTCACTTATATGGTTGTGGGTTTGCTGACATGGACCATATTTTAACCGTATATTCTTTGAATGGCATTTAGTAATTGGAACATAATCGAATAACACACTATAGCAATTGTTATCTATAAATAGTAAACCATAGTAATTGTTATCCATAAAAAGTGTGTTATTCGAATATTTTAACCGCGTTTGAAAAATCTTGATGCCAATTGGCAGGGATTAATGTTCCAAATTATTTTTATGGCAATATCCATCCTCGGTATCCCCAGTGGTGTCACAAAATACATTTTAATAGTAAATATTAGTGCTGGGTATTGGCACTGCAGAACGATATGATAGATATTGCGATTCAGGTGATACGATAGGATTCACTTATCATGATTCATAACCAAGATATTGATGTGTATCAAATTAAGGACCAAAACAATTTAAGTGTTTGTGTACCTATGGATAATGTGTGACATGTATAATTAAAAGTGACAGGTTACTTACTGAAGCGACAAAAAAAAACCATAAAAAAAAGAATTGTGATACATAGATTAAACGCCTAAAAATTCAATACCCGAGTCGCGAGAAGGGAAGGTAAATCACGATACATCGATTCAACAATATGTCATGCCAGTATTAGTAAACAGACTGTTATATTGTTATGGTCTGGCATAGGCTTGAATTGTTTTCTTGATTTGTCAAAACTCGGGACAATATATACTTCTACCTTTTGTTGTTATTTTTTAAATCTGCCGATGATCTGATGGCTACCTCTATTACAATATAACAGGCTTCGAGAGTTTCTAAACATGGGACCTAAAATAAAATACAACTTTTGCTATTATACAAAATATTTATATGGATATTTATAAGTATTATAGCATATAAATAATGACGTACAAGTATTTAGCAGGTGGGCCATTTGTTTGCTCTATCTGGCTCAAGCTTTTTTCTTTATCTGGGTCACAATAAAAAAAATATGCAAATTTTTACCGACACATTGTTTTTCCGACAACCTGTTTACAAAAACTGTCAGAGATGGTCATGGGTATGACAATACGATACTTAATTTTTTGTGGATGTATAAAATTAATATTTCATATACTGGGTAGTAACAATATGATAATTAATTTTTTTGTGGAAGTAAAAAATTAATAGTTTGTATCATGCTACTTTACCTGGGAGGAATTCAGCAGAATAATTAACCTATCTACCAGATTTCTGTACAGTTCTGTTACTCGACCAATACTACTTGATTCACCTTCAGGTGACTTCTTTCTGTAAACAGATAGCATTAAATTTAAAATGCTTGTCAATTAACGCTATTTCTGTAAGTTTTGCTGTTCTAGTCAGAACAAAACTGGTGTTGGCTAAATCTAACTAAAGTCTATATAATAGTTATTATTACACAATATAACAGAAAATGAGCAAGTTATTATCTCCCTTTAAGTTATTATCTTGTGACCAACATGTGGTATATTCTTTATTTCGATAAAAAGAAATGAAATGAAATGGGGTTTAACGTCCTACTGTTCTGCTCCTAACCTGGGCTAATGAAGACGGGCATACGCCATACAGTGTGCTATGAGGGAAATTTTGCCCGGACAGCGGCACTACGGCCTACTCTTATATCGAATTCCAACTGCCAAGGGATCTTTTACGTGCACGCCAATGTGTACACGGGACCTCGGTTTTTCGTCCCATCCGAACGACTAGACAGCTTTCCTTGTCAGCCCCTCCGTCCTGCATCACTGACAAGGGAGAACCATGCCGGAAAATCTGGATGAACTTTCTCGGCCAATGCAGGGATCAAACACCCGACCTCCAGGCTAGTGAGCTAGCGTCTTACCCACTTAGCCACGTGATCCCCCTTATTTCGATAATAAAACATTTCTACACAGTAGTCTTAAAAAGTGTCAGGCAACCAGAGTACAGTAAAACAAAAAAACAGAACACAAGGAAGTGAGGCGCATCATTACGATGGCTTATGTCTTTCATTTGATTGGCTGACAATATTCAAAATTTAATACTGAAAATGGAAGACAACAAAAAACAAAGTTCACCCAATACTGTGTTCTAGAATAAAAGCTCTTTGATTGAGCAAAGCAGAGCAATATCTTACCTTTTCTTTTTAGCTGAATGTAAGGTGAGTTTACTAGCTCTGTCTGATTCATTATCTGTATCTTTATCGGACTCTATCGCTGTATTGTTACATCTAGTTAATTGTTGACTTACCAATATAGACAGTACAGGTACTACAAACTACAATATAGACAGTACAGATACTACAACATAGACAGTAAGGATACTACAAACTACAATACAGACAGCACAGACTACATTATATTTATAACACATAATCCATAACTTAATAATCCACATTTTAATGGATTAAAAGCACAAACTCAGCACAAAGGTTATTTTGCAATCTCATTAAAATATAGATCTATATCTCATTTCATTTTAAGATCTAACCATTTGTAGTGGAAGGTCGCGTCAGGTGTCACATGAGCGGCTTTCAACCTTATGACGTCAGACATTGATTAATCAATCAGCGTGTTGCTCAAAGTTCCGTGCACCTCATGCCAAAAACACGCCATAACAGACCCTTTCATTGGCTAATCCCTCACATCATCCAGAATGATAACAACTCTTCCAGATCCTAGTGCAGTAAAGACCAGTAAAACGAAATTTTGAACTATAAAATACGAAACGAAATAGGATTTATTGGAACTGTATAGTATTTTTACCTGGAAATCATAAGCAGCACCAAGAGTTGAAACTAAACAACCAGTAATTCCATCAACAGCTGGCGCTAAGATTCTACCCATAATTAAATTCTCAGGTAAAATATCCAAACAATAACATAACAATCTTGATAGAGACTGCTTGAAATCTGAATCCCGTAAGTTGATAAACCCATACTGATTGAAAAATTCAGATAATTTTATCAACATCTGTAGGTAATGTCTTTGGGTCATATGAAAAGTTAAATGACTTTTGGAATCTTGGGTGATAATCTGTTTAATCAGACCAGCGGCCTTGTTCTCCAACAGACATTTCTCTCTGGAATTACAATATAAATAAGGAACATTGGTTATATCATTTCATTAGATTTAATTGACTTTCGTTTAAATTAGCATTTTCCATGCATTATTCTTGTACTGATAGTTTTGTTATGTTTACCAATTTATTTGCTTGATTGTTAAACAAGTTTAACAGTAGGAGACATCCATCCACAGCTCAGCAAATTCGTCCGAGCAGTCCATAAAGGCTGTCACATTTCTATTCTTTTGCATATAATGTTGAAATTCCATAGGCTACTTTATCTTATTACGAATTTCAAGTCAGCTGGTAGACATCTTTAGCATCTGGATCGTACACAGTCTAGGCGTATTTCCATGTAGGAGTATAAAAATGTTCTACAGTTAACACTTTGATAGTTTTCTTATGACATATATATATATATGTACCATCATCCTGTGCGTTCTATTGTGATTAATACCATTTATGGAAACTTATTGATGACAACATAAAATTTTATGCTTGAGCTTCAATTTTAAGGCAACAAAAGAACTCCCAAATTTATTGGCTTGACATATTAGTTCGCTTGCAACATCGTTCTGAACTACTAACATAACACCATTTATGGAAATTTATATTGATGACAAATATGGATCTCATACTAAGTACTAACTGTACTTCGTTCGTTCGTTCGTTCATGGAGTTTTCTCTTGTCAGTGGTGCAGAACGGAGGGCCTGGCAAGGACAGCTGTCTAGTCCTTCGGATGAGACAAAAAAACGAGGTCCCGTGTATATATTGGAATGCACGTAAAAGATCCCCTGGCAGTTGGAATTCGATATAAGAGTAGGCGATAGTGCTGCTGCCCGGGCAAAATTTCCCTCATTTCGTTTCATGGAGTTTTACGTCCACTTCCACCAAGGGTGATATGATAGGCAAGATAACTGTACTGTTTATTTGGTAATTAATTAAGTTAACTCTATCTTACTGTTTCTCTAGATTCTGACATCCAGACATAACCAGTTCTATAAAACCATGAACACATGCTATTAAATAATCCAGTATCTCTGGTGGGGGTAATCCTAGTTCTTCCAGTAAATCTATACAAACATTAACTGATGTCTGAAAAAAAAAATCCAGTGATTTTATAACATGTCTAGTATCTTATTGCGGCAATTGGATCAAAATACAGATCTAGATTTCGTTTCTTTTTTTAATACTTTCGATGGCCTACACTACATGAAGGGCTGACCAGTTGATGTTTCTAGTGGGTTACCCACAGTTCCGTGCACCTCACGCCAAAAACTTTCCGCAGTAACAAACAGTTTTATTGTCTAATCCCTTATATAACAACTCTTCCAGATGCTAGTGTAGCAAAGACAAATAAAACGAAATTTTGAAGTATAAAAAACGAAACAAAATAGGATCTGTGTTTTAATCAAATTGCTTATTCCAGGTGTATACCAGTTTTGCAATAGATGCCTAATAATATTTGCCGGTGAAAGTTATTTTAAAGGCTCAATACCACTCTTGTTGTAACTGAATAATATGTCCCAATCTTTATTCTGGTCAACAAATTGTACTATTTTACAATATTCCAATTAATTGATGATACAAATTTCATCTTAACACACCTAATTTAAAAAATTGGAAGAATTCAACCAAATGATTTGAAAAGCCTGATTTGAAAAGCTTTTCAAATGTGACTTGGATTTAAAAATATTTTCGAACCCTCTGGACAAGTAAAATAGGATTTAATGGATAATTTACACAACAGGTAAGACACTAACACATCTAGTACTTAGAATAAGGCTATTTTTTATTTTCTGGAGCTGTCAAGCCAGCAAGAGTGTTATTGGCCCTTTAAAGGGCACATGTGTTTATTAACACCCTAATAACAGCCCAGTGCAGAGAGAGAGAGAGAGAGGGAGAGAGAGAGAGAGGGAGATGGGTTTAAGTTCATTGGACACAAACTTGGTCAATGTTTCAATAATTCGATTGCGCATAGGGGTCTTTAGCAGTGGGAGGGAACCTGGAAGATCCACAGAAAACCCACGAGGTTCGACAAGTTACCCTTCTACTTGTCACATACAAGCAGGGAATCAAAACCACACCAATTGGCTAAATGACAGACCTCATGATGCAATGTGCATTGTACTTTGGTATCCGTATTTATTTATTTAACAAAACTTACCACTTTAAGTTCTACATCACCAAATTCTAGATGCCAGCACATACAACTCCATACCATATTGGTTTTCATAACATCAAACTGATTAATACTCTTGGCTAGTGGTAATAGAATCTTTCTACAAAATAAATATACCATAATACTGTTGTTGGGTCCACTAATAAAACCTGTGCTATAGCAAGTCCCTACATATCACACTGAAGGGCTTCATTATAAAACTGTTGTTAAGTGTCTGCATATATAAAACTGAAGGGCTTCAATATAATACTGTTGTTGGGTCCATTGATATAACCCACGTTAATAGCAAGTCCCTACATATAACACTGAAGGGATCCACTATAACACCGTTGTTGGTACACTGATAAAACCCAATTTAACAGCCAGTCCCTACATATATCACTAAAGGGATCCACTATAACACTGTTGTTGGGTCCACAAATAAAACTCACAATTAACAGCAAGTCCCTACATATCACACTGAATAGATCCACTTAACACTGTTGTTGGGTACAATCATAAAACCCACTTTAACAGCAAGTTCGACATATATATTAAGCATAAGAGGGATGGGGTTTAGCGTCCAGTTGACACAACCTAAATCATTTCAGAACTAACATATGGTTCAAGTTTATTTCAATATTTCAATAGTTTGCTTGGGTGGTGGTGTCTTTAGCAGTGGGAGGAAACCGGAGGAACCAGAGAAAACACAGGAGGTTGGACAGATGACCTTACTCCTTGTCACGTACAAATGGAGAATTGAAACCACGCCAGTTGACTGATGCAGCCAAACCCCCAGGGTTTAAAAAACACTAACCATAAATACGTCCATTTGGCTCAAACATGTAGTAAATCTTTTGGTAGAAAGTGGAAGATTTTATTTTAATTAAGTATCTTACGTGAGGTTGAGTTGAATTCTTTCACAATAATCTACATCTGTTATATCAATATAAACATCACTTAGTTTAAACTCTAATTCTCCTACATCCTGTAACAAATAAGATATATAAGGTGTTTTTATCGACCACTGATTAGCCAAAGTGATTTGCGTTCGATCAAATTTTCATCTTTAACGTCCATCTAATCCAAGGGGGAGAGAGAGAGAGAGAGAGAGAGAGAGAGAAATGGGGTTTAACGTCCACTCGACACAAACTAGGTCATTTCGGGACTATAATATGGTTTAATTCTATTTCAATAATTCGCTTGCGAGTATGGGTCTTTAGCAGTGGGAGGACACCAGAGGACCCAGAGAAAACCCACAAGGTTGGACAGGCAACCCTACTCCTTGTCATGTACAACCGGGGATTCGAAACCACACCAGTTGACTCAATGACAGGCCTTATGATACAGTGCGCACTTGCTAACCATTCGGCCATCCAACCCCCCTTATATCTAATTCAAATCGATTACCCTAAGTGGTTACCACAAATCGCCAAATCACCTCTAGGTGCGATTTGATGATTTGACTGGGTGATCACATGTTTTTTCAAGTATATCCAGCCACAAGAATTGTTTACAGCTAATCGACGCATTTAACGAACTTGGCAAAGTACTTTGAAATCGACTATACTGTCACATGAAATCTCCACTAAATTCAAATCAATTTGACAAGTCGATAAAAAAGCCACCCATATTTTTATCCATCGAATAATGTGGTGGTGGTCTAACTAATCGAGCAGAACATCCAGTCAACCCTACTTATTGTCATGTACCTGTACAACATTTGGAACAAAACCTTGATGCATATAAATAATTGCAACATTATTAACTTTTCTACAAAAAAATTGGGACCAAATTAACCCACAGAAAATTTAAGTAATGTGTAATGACTCTGTGACCGGACTCACTGTAATGACACTTTGTTATTGGTCCATGTGTTCACCAGCTATTCTAACAATACTATCACAAGGTCCATGGAAAATTTATGTTATGTGTGATGCTGACCCGGCACCACATAATATAATGGTTAATGGTATCCGAACCCTTGATTCATCCATATCTTGAAAATCAATCAATCAAGTGGGTCCAAATTCTACAAAAGTCCCAACAAACATTCCCAAATTAAAATAGAATAGTATTTCCATAACTTAAAACCAATAAAAATAGAATTCACTTACTTCTGACGGATCGTGTAAGCTTTGATGTATCACAGAATTCTTTACAAAGAATCTCTTCAAGCACTGAGGTTCACCTGTTTCGTATAGTTTATCACTTATCTTCACAAGTTCTATAGTTCAAATAAACAAAACATAGGTTGCCAGGTAATGAAACATACACCCCACAGCAGCTAAGTCGTCTGGGCAGTCAACAAGGGTTGTCAAATGAACAAAACATGATTTCCAATATCAAAATCAAAATTACAATTAAATTTCCACTTTCTGGTGTCCTGAGAAAATAAAATGGTTTTTTTCTTTCGAAAAATATAGTTTGAACTAGCTTTATCATGCATACAATACAACCTATTCTGGTAGCAAATGAAATGAAATGAAATGGGGTTTAACGTCCTACTGTTATGCTCCTATACTGGGCTAATGAAGACGGGCATACGCCATACAGTGTGCTATGAGGGAAATTTTGCCCGGGCAGCGGCACTATCACATATTCTTATATCGAATTCCAACTGCCAAGGGATCTTTTACGTGCACGCCAATGTGTACACGGGACCTCGGTTTTTCGTCCCATTCCGAACGACTAGACAGCTGTCCTTGTCAGGCCCTCTGTCCTGCATCACCAACAAGGGGGAACCACACCGGAAAACCTGGATGAACTTTCTCGACCAATGCAGGGATTTTCTATCCATGATATTTTGCCCCCCAAAAATTGAATTTTGCAGGCAATTAACACTGATACATATGGCAAATTGAACCACTACACTGCTTATTTTATTTCCTGTAAAACTAAAGAGAGAGAGAGAGACGGAGTTTAACGTCCACTCGACACAAACTAGGTCATTTCGGGACTAACATGGTTCAAATTTATTTCAATAATGTGCTTGCCCATAGGGGTCTTCAGCAGTGGGAGAAAACCAGAGAACCCTAATAAAATCCATGAGGTTAGACAGACGACCCTACTCCTTATCACGTACAACCGGGAAATCGAAACCACGCCAGTTGACTCAATGACAGACCTTATGATACAGCGCGCACGCGCTAACCATTTGGCCATCCAACCCTGCTCTCCTGTGAAACTAAAACAAAATCCAACCAACCTGCAATAGCTAACACCATTTCTCCAAGTAATTCTCTATATAAACAACAATCTTTTAATTTAATAGTCTGCAGTAGATGAATAAGATTAGAATTACATCTCTCTTGTAGACTAGAACAATTGGGTAAACCCAATAATCGTATTATTCTTCCCATTAACCACAAACAAAATCCTGTAATATACATGGGTTAATCTTTATATTACATAAAAAATAAACTGATGGATGAACAGAAGCAGAATTGGAAAATGAAATAAAAGGGGGTTTAACGTCCTACTGTTCTGCTCTCACTACAACTCCGGTATCATTTAGTTCAGTTGTGTTGTTTTATTGGGAGTTTCTGTATTTAATGTTTAGTTTCAAATCATTATTGTAAAACTGTTCAAATCCATTGAGAATCGTAGAAAACCATTGTGTTTCTACTGCTGTGTAGTTTAAATGGTCTGTCTAGATTACATAATGATTGTTGGGTTTATAACTAGAGCGAGAAAACCCACGAGGTTGGAAAGACGACCTTACTCCTTGTCACGTACAACCGGAGATTCGAAACCACGCCAGTCGACTCAATGACAGACTTTATGATACAGCGCATGCATGCTAACCATTCAGCCATCCCCCCCCCCCCCCTCAACACCTTTTGAGAACCTAGGACTACTGAAATATATTTGAGAAGTATTCAGCGACAGTGATCATAAAGCTGTATGATTTAATACCTCTAGATAATTTAGCTTCAAGTGATATATCTTTATTTTTAACTACTGATAAACCTGGTGTCGATGTAGCCATTATTCGAGGTGAATAATGAAATGTGTCGGACTTAGTATCTAGACAATTAACTATCAACTGAAGCAGTAACAAACAATCACTCATTCCATCTTCATTACCACAAGATTCTTCAACTGAAAAATAAAAGTAGAAAATTTCCATACAATTTTTCCATTCATCTATAAATAAATACAATCTGATCAAAATTCAGATCTATATTTCGTTTCGTTTTTTATACTTTCGATGACCTCTACTACATGAAGATATGATCAGTTGTAATGGGAGGTCGCATCAGAGGTCATATAAGCGACTTTTGACCCTATGACATTAGACATTTGATTAATCAATCAGCGTTAATGTTTTTAGTGGGTTACCCACAGTTTCTTGCAACTCACGCCAAAAACTCGCCGTAACAGACCGTTTCATTGGCTAATCCCTCACATCAATAGGAACACTTGTTCTATAGCAACTTTTCCAGATCCTAGTGTTGTGAAGACAAGAAAAACAAAATTTTGAACTATAAAACACGAAACGAAATAGGATCTGTGTTTTAATTAGATTGTAAATAAATAGCTCTTTTAGTGGTCTGTGCTAGACAATGCTTTAGTGGATCACACAAGTTAAAGATGTGTTTATTGATGGCTTTTCATACTATCTTTAGTCCATGTGACAGACCTCGGATTTCGGAGTATCATTACCGATTTGATGAATAAATTCAACCATGATTTTCAGTTAGCCTGGTGCCCGAAGTGTTCAAATTTGGCTGATGGACTTCCGGTTCACTTTGCTAAATGCCATTTTGGCGGCCATCTTTAAAAATGACCGCCGTTTTTTCATTGCAATTGAGCGCGTCAAGGAAACCTTCATAACTCTTTCACAGATTGACCTATTGATATGAAATATGGCTCAAAATGTTCGCAATGACATTCTACAGCTGCTGTTATATGATACATGTTGGTGAATGAATCATATATTTTCCAAATCAACAGATTATTCTGAAAAAAGCAACGTTTTGGCATTTTTTTTCAAGATTTATTTTATAAGTTCACTACCAAATCATGTTCAGGGTAAATTTAGCCAAATTTTGTGTGTGGTCTTCTTAAGTTATTCATTTGGCATAAATAAATACGCTCAGTGACCCAGTCTGTACAGCTGCGGTGGTCGGAAACTCAACAAAAGTCTTGAGTAGACTGTCAATTTTAAAATGTTGAGCCTTTATGGGGTTTTCAGGATCACTAAACTTAAATATTACCTCAAAAATAGATTTTGGATAAGGTAGATGATTGCCTCAAAAATAGATTTTTGATATCGTAGATGATTGCTTAAGAACAAAACGGGACAATTGTCAGTCTTTCTATTGGCTTTGCTTATTATAAAATTGTGTAGTAGTTTTTTAGGGGAGGATGGAATTAATTATACTAGATCTCGTAAATCAGAAAACAAGATTTAATATTATTCCAGCAAAGCTGTATGGAATTTTAATATATCTTTGCAAATATATCTAGTTGTTAAGAAATACCTATTCTGTTTGTTCACAAATGGGCCGAAATAGTGGCTCAGTGGGTAAGGCTCAACAAGGTCCGGAATTCGATCCCTGTGTCTGGGCAAATTTTTCCTCATTTCACACTGTATGACAAATAGCCATCTTCATTGACCAAGTTAGAACAGTAGGACGTTAACCCACATTGCATTTCATTTCTGGTCCACAAATCGTAATGTGATAGATTTTTACTTTGAAGAGTCTGACATCATTTGTGGTATCATCTAGACAGATGGTATCATTGATTCATATTTGTAAATTGTGAAAGTGTAAAGTGTATTTCACAACAAGTTCTAAGTTTAAAAATGATAATTACAGAGATAATTTGAAATACATTTACGACTAGGTATCCCAAAAGCCATGGCTCACGATTTCCTCTTTGTTAATGTCACAACCATCCACCTCATTGGAATTACTGTGACAATCGCAACTACTGTTTTTCTTCAGCAATGTACACTAGCCAAAGTACAAGAAGAAACAGGAGATCTCGGCAGCGACAATGATGATATCATTTTAATATCATAGGCCTGCCTAAAGCGAAAGAGGAAATTGGTCGACATTAAGTTTGTGATGCCTAGTCGTAAATGCATTTCAAATTATCTTCGCAACGATTCTTTTTAAACTTTCAACTTGTTGTGAAATGGATCTGTCGATACGATATCTAGACTATACCACAAAAGTTGCCAGTCATGGAGTCTTTGATGAAAAACCGGTCCAGTTGTACCATATAACGAAAAAATGCGAAAAGTACCGAGATAAAAATCTGAAAAGTACCGAAAAATGCAGACAAAATACGGAAATAGTGATAAATACCGAAAAAACTTTTTGATACTAATTACCGAAAAAATTCGAAAAACCCAAAATATCGAAAAATCAATAAATAACGAAAAAACAACACTAATTACCGAAAAAAAACCTAAGCCACACATAAAAATTGCTAGGTGGGTCAGACTAGACCATGCATAAAAATGGGGGGAACTGTAGGTTACGCATTAAAATTATTGACACTCTTAGGTGGGTAATGGGTCAAGCAAGATCAGGCATAAATATAGTGGTACACTTTCAGTCAGGGGCGGATTGGGGCCGGGAACCGACCCGGGCTCCCGTGTCGGAGCTGCCCCTTTTACTGACCGCGGAGCACGGACGGGGGTTATATATGGTTATATATATATATATACAAGAGCAGTGTGGACCCTCCAATGGGATGCAAAATCAGCTAGTATGGGCAACTGTCCCAAGCCGTTAGATAAACAAATGCACATAGACAGGTATAAACTGTAATTGGTATAGATAAGCACAAGAATAAAAGATCAAACAATTATTTAAGCGGTATAATGAACCACGAGCAATAGGCCATAACAGTAAAAACATGATAACGACTTGTGAAATCTTGTTGAAACGTCGCAGTGAAATAAACTATAGTAATTGTTATCCATAAATAGTTTGTTATTTGCTTATAAAAGACATATTACAAGCTACATCAAACAGAAAATCGATCATTTTACGGAAATTCTGGCCGCCTTTTTGAATATTCACCAGCTTGGATTTTTTTTAAACACTCTGTGTTTTGGTTCATTTTAAGTTCAGTAATCCCATTCAATTGGATATTACATGTAATATCAAACTGTGAAATAACTATTATCTGACAAATTGGCCATTTGAGCAACTTTTGGCCGCCATTTTGAATTTCTGCCATTTTGGATTTGGGGCACTCATATTAGAGATTATTTTTTATGATCAATGTTTCTGATATCTAGTAAATCACTTTAGTTGACCAAATAGATAATTTGGCTTATATGGGTCTGAACAAGATTTTTTTTAAGTAAACTTATGAACAGACATCATGGAAAAACCCCGAAAATATTGCTGTTTTCAGATTAATCTTTTATTTTGAAACCGAAAGCATTGATTAAACAACATGAATCATATACCAGCAGATTTAGAATTGTATTATGAACATATTGAGCCATATTACATATCCGTAGGTGAACCTGTTGAGGAGTTGTGGAGGTTTCCCTGACTTACACTATTTCAAATAAAAAAATGGCGGCCATTTTTAAAGATGGCCACCAAACTCATATTTGGCAAAGTGACCCGGATGTCCATCAACCAATTTTGGACACTTTAGACCTAAGGCTAACTGAAAATCATGGTTAAATTTATTCATCAAATTGGTAATGAAAATCTGTCTTTCACATGGACTACTTTAAATAACTTGTAATTTTGTAGTTATACCGGTAGTCACTTTACACAAATAGCAGTGAGTATCTTAAAAGATTCTGCAACAACGGAAGTCAGATCACTTTACTTCCAGTCTATTCATACCAAACGACTATTCTACCATTTCTGGCAGGATTCTTCTATTATCTTAAAGAGCCATGTTGATGGCTCATCCAGTAGGGGACTGGCTTGCAAACCAGGAGGTCCTAGTTTTAATTTTGGCGTCGGCCAAGAAAATTCCCCTGTACTTTCCAGTCCAGATTCGTCTTTTCAGCGTTGGAAGTCAGGGTTCCTGGTAAAGACAGACATCTAGTCATTTCAATTTAGGCCTAATGAAGAGTAGGCCTAGGCCAAAATCCTACTATCTGTGCATTTAGATGTTAAAACCCCATTTCATTTCTATTACCTGAGGATAATTTTAATTATTTTGTTCACTCTTTGTATAAAATTCTCAGAAATGAAATGAAATGAAATGGGGTTTAATGTCCTAATCCGACTGGCCTAATAAAGACGGGTCTATGCCATACAGTGTGCTATGAAGAAATTTTGCCCGGACAGCGGCACTATGGTCTACTCTTAGTCTTATATTAAATTCAAGCTGCCAAGGGATCTTTACATGCACTGGACCTTGGATTTTGTTCCTTCCGAACGACTATATGTTGTCCCTTGCCAGGCCCTCTGTCCATCCACAGCTGTAAGAGAAGAGATGGCATGCATGATGGAATTTATGCGGCCTCTCAAGTGAAAATATTAAAGTGTATTGAAAACAGCATTCCTACCCTTTTTTAAATCAGTAAAGAACGTTTCCACCATTCTACAAATACATGTTCTGTATTTATAAATTTCCTGTATTCCACCTTCTCCTTTCTGAGCACTGAAATCAAAACAAATAACATTTAAATTTGGCCTGAAGTGTAGAGATTGATTGAGTAGCTGTGCTCTCTCTCTCTCTCCAATGTCAATGATACTGGTAATCATTTTTCAAATAAGCGCACAATTTACTCAACATTGGTCCTTTCCAAAGATCACTGAAAAGTTTTTGAGTTACTATGTCAAAGGGAGATAATTCTGAACATTAGATCATACAGTATCACAATGATGCAGGTGTGAAGGTTTCTATTCCAAGCTTGTATGTCATAAGGAGTATGGTCATCTCCCCAACTTTGTTAGTTTTTCTGTGTTACCCCAACCCTGCATCTAAGAGACAGAGAGAGAGAGAGAGAGAGAGAGAGAGGGGTAACCACTAGACCCAAACTAGGTCATTTTGGGACTAACATATGGTTCAATTTTATTTCAATAATTTGCTTGCACGTAGGGGTCTTTATTGGTGGGAGGAAACCGGAGGACCTCGAAAAAACCCACAAGGCTGGACTGGCGACCCTACTCCTTGTCATGTACAACCAGGGATTTGAGACCACACCATTTGACTCAATGATAGCAGACCCCATGATGCAACGTGCACATGCTAACCATTCGGCCACCCAACCCCCAACATTAATACAGACTTACTTTGTGAGTAACTGTAAATAAACTGCCAAATTTTCTCTTTGCATTTTGATTTTTCTCGTAATTAATTCTAGATATCAGAAATTATACAATCATATATTACTAGATCAAAGACACATCCCTCCAGACTCTGAAATAAGGAAATGAAATGAAATGAAATGAAATGATATGGGTTTAACATCCTACTGACACTGTTCTGCTCTGACTGGGTTAATGAAGACAGGCGTACGCCATACAGTGGTAAAATGTTGGATTTATTTCTAATTGTCCTTATTTAGAGGGAAATCTTGCCCGGGCAGCGGCACTACGTGCACAGGAAGGTGTACACGGGACCTCGGTTTTTCGTCCCATTCGAACAAAAGACAGCTGTCCTTGTCAGGCCCTCCATCCTGCATCACTGACAAGGGGGAACCACGCCAGAAAATCTGGACTCATCCGAAAGACTAGACAGCTGTCCTTGTCAGGCCCTCCATCCTGCATCACTGACAAGGGGAAACCCCGCCGGAAAATCTGAATGAACTTTCTCGGCCAATTCAGGGATCGAACACCCAACTTCCAGGCTAGTGACCATGGTCTTACCCACTTCCAAATCTGTAGGCTACCATTCAATTTAATCTGCAATACTTTGCTGTTGAATTATATTATATGTCACAGTATACATGTAGCCTAAATGTTAACAATAAGTAGATCGATTGTGCAAGGGTGTTGCAAAGCTTATATAAGACTTTTTTTGTATTGATAATGTATAATTAATCTGTGTATTGACGTTTTGTCATCCCATCCCATCCAAATGACAGGATCAATTCAAAGTGTCAAGTGGAAGTCGAGAGTTGAACGATTAATATAATTCAGTGAGGCTTATATCACGCCTGCAATTTTTTTTATCCGGGTCTATTACTTTTTTTTTTTTTTTTTAATTTTGCATTTTCTTCTTCAACTTTCTTTCGCTTTAGCATTACCTTCGGGTTTGGCGGGAAAATAAGTTGACGTGTTGACAGTTTATCAAACAAATCCAGCTTTCAGACATCCGGCATGATTATAATATGAATGGGATACCTTCAAACATTTCAAACTTAAATATCCCAGATGAATAAATCAATGTTAATTCAACATACAGGTAGTAAAGTAGTTTATTTCGGCTTCAATTTTCTCTATGATTTTTCAACTTTAATAGTCTGGTTAATCGTGACATAATAAGAGAGTTATCACCCCTATTAAATAATCTAAAAATAGCCATGATACAATATCCTAGCAATCTTTGGTAAGTAAATAAAATAGTAATGTCAGCACTACTTCAGTACTTTGTAAAAGGTATAATTAGGACTTTATTCATTCATATCTCACCAGAACAACCAATGAAATCGTTCTCATATGATTGTGGGAGAATAAATATTCATAACATCAATAATTTCCGAAGTAACTTGTAAGAATTATAATTGTTATTTATTGAGTAAAAAATAAGATAAAAGGTATTTATCTTGATAATAGTCACAGATATGGCTGCTAAATCAAAGACTGTAAAGGAGGTTAAAAATGTCCGATATATACCTTATGCAAGAGGATTTAAGGTTCCGACTACAAAAGACCAGGTTCTGGCCTTAGGCTTAGGAGTTGAAAATAAATTACCCATTCCTAAAGAATATACCGACACAACATTTTCAGATGTCAACCCATTTACATTCTTTAAAAATATCCAGCAACCTACCTCCATTGATGATTGGTTAGCACAGTATAATGAAGAAGGGCAGACATACTCTCAATACTTGAAACAATGTCCATGGTTGTCCCCGCGTAAAGTGAAAGGGATGCATGAGAAATTTGTATCCTCAGCTAAAACTTTATCAGGCAAATACCCAGGCAGTAAAATATACATAGTTCCTGTTGGAGAATTTAACGAAGAGGATTATATTTCATTCAGCAATTTACTGGATTACTCCAAACGTTTCCTGTGTCTACCCATAGCAACTCTACCTCACTTCAAACTTCAGCAAAATAATGATAAATTGTTCTGGGTCGATGAGCCGTCAACAAAAACAACTGTACGCTCCAGTCCCAGAACAAGACTAACGGAACTGAAAAGCAGGTTTCATACTAAAACGGGTAATTTACAAGTTCAGATTTCTCCATTGCTGATAAAATTAAGACAAAATATACCTCAAGACGCCTTTTGTTTAATTGGATTGACTCGTCACGATCTTTATTCCGATGAAAGCGATCTGTTTGTGGCAGGCATGGCAGCAGGAAATCACGGAGTAGCAGTGTTCAGTCTCAACAGATATGATCCGAGTTTGAGTTTTTCCACTGAATTTTGGTATGAGAGATACAAAGTTCCTGGATATACAGAAGAAGAGAGACGCCACTTAATCTTGCAGAGGTCGTGTAAGCTAGTAGTGCATGAAATCTGTCATATTTTGGGTTTAGCTCACTGTATCTTTTTCGACTGTTGTATGAATGGTTCAGGACATCTTGCCGAAGATTTTCAACAACCCATGCATCTGTGTCCAGTAGATTTACGTAAACTACAAACATTGTGTGGTTTTAACACGGTGCAAAGATATGAACAACTTCTGGAGTTTTATAAAAAATTCAAAATGGAATCAGAAACTGTTTGGGTGGAAAGAAGAATTGCATATTTGAAACAGAAATAAAAACGGGCTACAAAATGCAATTCGGACCATGGACCATACAGTAAAATTACATCAGATTATCATAAAAAAAATTTCTTCACTTTCCATACAACATTGTGTACCCTTGATTTTTTAAAATATTTTTAAGAGACATTATATGGAATGAGAATTGAATATAATTACATTTTATTAAAGATTGTGTGATATTTAGTTGAAGAACACCAGTAGAATTGTGTTTTCAGGGAACAAAATAAGCAGTATAGGAAAGCACTCTGCAACTCGATTTCCATCCATATTCCTTACAACCGCCATGCAACATGTAAACGTCTTAATATTAATGATTTTTTTATGGAATAATTACTTTTGCTTAGTTTAGAAAAACTTAATTTTATGAATTGCTATTCAAATCAAAGAAATGTTGCTCAAAATAAACAAATTGCTACACTAAATACACTAACGGCAAAAATCTGAACAGCAAATAAAAGAATGGCTCTTCTTGTGTATAGGTATAAAAAATTAATAATAAATTTGTGGCTATAAGTTATGGCAGCAATAAGATCCAGCAGAAGTATTGTTTGTAATAGCACCGATCATAAAAATTGTGGAACAGGAGCAGATTGTAGTGAGTGGTATGGGTGGTTGTGTGTTACTCCCCTTAGTTGGTGAACTGACTTGTGAAATATGTATTCCGGAAAATGTTCAAGGTGTTGTTTCTCTTATGGCATAGTTAAATGTGAAACTTTAGACCTAATCTAAAATTAAGAAAGATTTTGATTTAACATTGATTTGATACCTTTGTGAACATTCCTTTGGTTCTTGGATTCCAGATATTCTATATCAGTTCACAGGGAATAGTTATATTTATACTGTTTGTAATTACTATTAGACTGTTATTGTTGACTTATTAAATAAAATGCTCTAGCATTTGGTTACTTTTAATTCCATGATTAAGTCTGCAAAGCAAAAGAGATGACTTTTTCACGTTTAATCCTAGTAAATGTCCAGGAACTTTTTACATGAATGTGTAAACAGAACCCTGTCTCATCCGAGTTATTCGATCTCAGCATTGACCAAGAAATTTCATCAGGATTTTCCGACTTGGTTCCCATTTGTCAGTGGTGCAGGACAGAGAGTCTGGTAAGTGACAGCATATAGTCGCTTGGATGGGATAAAAAAACGAGGTCCCCTGTACACATATGAGAGTGGGCCATAGTGTCGCTGTCCAGACTAAATTTCCTCATGGCACAATGTATGCGTATTCTGGGTTTCATTAGTCCAGTCAGAGCAGAACAGTAGGACGCTAAACCCCATTTCATTTCCTCTGAGTAATACTATATTTGGTCATCCCAGCAAACATGGACCATTCAAAGATTCTATATTGTCCACCGTCAAATTTGAATCTGAGATATTCTGTCGTGGATCAACTTTGTCAGCTATACTTCCCATTCAGTAAAACGATGTACATGTGTTCAAAATGCAAGATATATTTACTTATAAATTTTATTTTTATTTTATCACAATTTTAATTTTTTAGCAGAGTTTTTATCTATAGCTTGGTTTTTCCTTTTCATTTTTTCAGCTTTTCTTGATAACACTTGTGTTTTAACTTCCTCTTGTAACTGTTTGAAAAAACTTGTAGATGATGTCAAAGAAGATTTCTTTTTATCAGACTGAAAAAAAAAAAAAAAATTATTTTAATTTAAAAGAGAGTGAGAGAGAGAAATGGGGTTTAATGTCCACTCAACAAAAACCAGGTAATTTCTGGACTAACACATGGATCAATTTTATTTCAATAATTCGCCTGCGCGTAGGGGTCTTTTGCAGTGGGAGGAAACAGGAGGACCCGGAGAAGCAAAACCACGGCAGTTGACTCAATGAGACCTCATGATACAGCGTGTGTCGGCCACTCCCCCTCCCCCCCTCTAATTTAAAAGAAATGACATCGTGCATTAAACTCAGTCATGAATATAACTTGGTTCGATGACCACATGTAGCATATCATCACATGTAACACAAGTTATTAAAGAACTACAGTTTCTAAGGCGATGTTGGTTAACGTTTTAACTGCTTGTTAAATTTGCTCATTTGTTGTTAGTTGTTTAATGGGCTATGGTCGTTTATTCTGGAGGTTCGACAGATGGAGAAGACATGTTTTACAATTTAAAACCGACAGTTCGTGTATTTCTTTGAATGGAGATTTGTGTTTATAGGATAGTGTTCAACAAGACGTATATGAGGTGGAGCTTGGTTGGTCAAAGCTAAAAAAAAAAACAAACCAAAAACGAAGGAGTATCCTAAATTTAATATTTTAATGAACTAGGGAGAGAGAAAGAGAGAGAAATGGGTTTTAGCGTCCACTTGCCACAAACTAGGTCGTTTCGGGACTAGCATGGTTCAAATTTTTTTTCGTTGATTCGTTTGCATGTAGGGGTCTTTATAATTAAAAGTGAAAGGAAACTGGCGAGGTTAACAGGCGACCCTACTCCTTGTCACATTCAAGCAGGGAATCGAAACCACAGACCACCCAACCCCACCATGAACTAGGACCAGGTTTCCTACCTTAACTACAGTAACATCATTCTTTGTAATTTTACTACTTTTTTCTAAATCTCTGATTGCACTCTCCTTGCTGTATTTATTTCCCAAACCAGGGTTCATCTTATCAACTAATTTTTCTCTTTTCAGTTTTTCCTTATGTTTTGTTCTTTTTTCTGCTTTCTTCTTCCGTCTCTCTCGTTTTCTGTCTGTTTCTGATTTCTCTGTTGTTCCCTTTAATTCACCTTTAGATTTGGCCTGTAAATTAGAAATTGCAATTTATTGATATATATTTTGGATGGCGTCTAAGTTCTACTACATAAAGATCTGCTGTTTTGTAACTGCGGTCATGTCAGGGGTCAAATAGAGAGAGAGAGAGAGAGAAATGGGGTTTAACGTCCACTCAACACAAACTAGGTCATTTTGGGACTAACATATGGTTTAATTTTATTTCAATAATTCACTTGCGCGTAGGGGTCTTTAGCAGTGGGAGGAAACTGGAGGACCCGGAGAAAACCCACGAAGTTGGACAGGCGACCCTACTCCTTGTCACGTACAACCAGGGATTCGAAACCACGCCAGTTGACTCAATGACAGGCCATCCAACCCCCCCCCCCCCCAGGTGTCAAATAAGTGTTTTGTTCTCTACAGATATTTGTGTACAGCTCGACCAACATTGTCTCATCCCCAATCTGATTAAAATACAGATCTATATTTCGATTCATTTTTTATACTTCGATGGTCTGCACTACATGAAGATCTGACCGGATGTAGTGGAAGATCGTGTCAGGGGTCATACAAGCAACTTTTGACCCTATGATGTCCGATCCTAGAGTAGTAAATGTGTATGGATGTTCAAATCTACGATTGTGTCAGGATCAGAATGACATATCGCAGAAAAAATGCAGCTTAATACAAGATAGCTAATGGCATTTATTCAACAGACCTAACCGCCCAAAGCAAACACAATTTCTTTCTGATGCCTACAACTTGCCACATCTATTGGTGATGGGAAACCATGATGAAAAAAAAGTGTTGTTTTATTTTGCTATCGCCATGGTGATGTTGCGGGGAGGGGCAAGCTAGACCAGGGCTATAAATAGAAACTTACTTTAATTTCCTCTGGAGCTATTAATTGAGCATCACTTTTGCTAACTGGTGCCACTTCCTCAATGGTGATGGACGGTAGATTGGATATTACACGTAACTCTGGTTGAATCTGAAAATTAAGGTACAGAAATATATAAATGTATATCGACATAAGTAATTCTTTCATATAATTATATATACAAATCAGTTAAAGTGAAATAATTCAGCAGAACGGTACTGGGTTTTATAGTGGTTAAATAAGAAGAATTGTGCTCTTGTTTTACATATCAGAGTTCAAATCCAGGGACATTTGAGTCCAGTATAATATTAGCTTTTTTTCCAATGTTACATAACATATATTTCATGAAAGAATATGAAGCCCAAAACAGTCTATTATATGGGAAGTAAGTTTTGGATAATCTGGTTTGTAATCTTGTGGAGACAGTATTATAAGTACCTGTTTAGGTGTGTAGTGGAAGTTAGATAAAGCATCTAATTTAATAAATAAAGATTGCATCATATTCTTAATATTTTCTCTTTCTGGATCTTTATCTTCTTCTACTTCTTCCTTAAAAAAAAATAAAAATACTTTTTAATGATATTGAATCTTGGCAATCTTACCTGATCCTTTATTGAACCAGGAGAGAGAGAAAGAGAGAAATGGGGTTAAAGTCCACTCAACACAAACTAGATCATTTTGGGACTAACATATAACATATAGTTCAATTTTATTTCAATAATTCGCTTGCGCATAGGGGTCTTTAGCTGTGGGGGGACCTGGAGAACACCCACGAAGTTGCACAACAACTCTACTCCTTGGCACATACAAGCGGGGAATTAGAAGCAGAGTTATTGTGTCCCAACTGTGTCTGGACGGATGGATTGACATTCCCATTTTAACAGTCCCCTGCTTTCTTAACGAGAGATAATGAATAAATATAGTACCTTATCCTTTTTTTGTTGTTTAATATATTCCTCTTCGTATATCTGTGCTAAACTTTGTTTACTCTTTTCTTGATCTAACACTATCCTTTTCTTATATTCCATTGTATCTTCTGTGGGTTTTACTTTTCTCTCCACATCGTCCCACGCCTACAACATAAACAACATCAACATATATAAACTACACATAGTTTCCAGCTTCATATTCTATTATTAGTATTATTAAAGGTTCATTTAAAGTCTCTACACCTTTTCGATTTGTGTAATCTCAATATAATTATTCTCATAGTAAATGAAATGAGGTTTAACTTCCTACAATCAGGTTAAAACACAGATCCTATAATTTCGTTTCGTTTTTATAGTTCAAAATTTCGTTTTACTTGTCTTTACGGAGTGACTTATCAAACTTCCCACTTTAAAATGCTATTGCATGTCTAATGATTTTAAATTTATCCTGATATCACATGTATATATGTCTTTGTAGCTTAGGAGGGACCTATGGAAGATTATTTTTTTTGCAAACTAAATACGTTGCCTCATTAAATAAAGTTTTTATTATTATTATTATTATACTAGGATCTTGAAGAGTTGTTATCATTGATGGGTTCTGAATGATGTGAGGGAATAGCTAATGAAACGGTCTGTTACGGCGAGCTTTGGTCATTTTTTGCACGGAACTGTAGGTAATCCACTAGTAACATCAATGCTGATTGGTTAATAAAATGTCTGACATCATAGGGTCAAAAGCTGCTCGTATGACCTCTGACGCGACCTATCGCTAAACTGGTCAGATCTTCATGTAGTGTAGGCCATCGAATTTATAAAAAAACAAAACGAAATATAGATCTGTATTTTGCATCAGATTGAACTTCCTACTGTTCTGCTCTGACTAGGCTACTGAAAATGGGCATACACAGGATCTTTAACATGCACGCCAATGTTGACATTGGACCTCGGTTTTCCAGGTCATCCGAACGACTATACATTGTCCATTGCCAAGCCCTCGGTCCTGCACCACTGACAAGGAGGAACCACACCAGAAAATCACAATGAACTTTCTCGGCCAGCGCAGTGATCACCGGAACTCCAGGTTAGCGAGCCGATGTCCTACCCACTGTGTCTCCCCCACCCTCATAGGAGAGAGAGAGAAATGGGGATTAACGTCATTTCGGGACTAACACATGGTTCAATTGTGCATAGGGGTCTTTAGCAGTGGGAGGACCCGGAGAAAACCCACGAGGTTGGACAGGCAACCCTACTCCTCGTCACGTTCAACCAGGGAATCGAAACCCCGCCAGTTGACTCAATGACAGACCATATGATACAGCGTGCACGCGCTAACTATTCGGCCATCCACACCCCCCCCCACCCTCATAGGAGACACTTTATCAATATACTGTGATAATGCACAACTAGGTATGTTTATATAAATATTGTGTACAGGTATATGTAAGTAAAATATAAAGCTAAATTAGACATGGTTTTCATACATCTTTCTAAATCACATGTCAGTACATCATCATTTGTACTCGAAAACGATAAGAGAACACTTGTCGAAATGTCATGTTATTTGGGTATAAACCAGTGATTATTTTCCATATAAATTGTGTTGTGTTTTTTAATGTGGTCAATCGCTAAATGTCACTCAAGGATTATATGTCGGAACTGTAACAGGATTCATCAGGTGATATAATATCAAGTGGAGAGCAATCAACTATAAAGAAACCCAAAGGACAAACACAAGACAAAAACACCAACATTGTAAACCAAATTAGGACTATTAAATCAATTGAACAGTCTAAGAAATCTCTGTAGGCTTACTTTATCTTTAATTCTTTGAATAATAATATCTTCAACTTTCTGTGATGTTTCTTCTGTAATAACTGGTGCTGTAATACAACACAAACATAAAAGAAATGAATATTTGAATATATATTCCAGGAAAAGAATATCAAATCAATAAATATTCATACCAGTCTGGTTTACTATGTCTACTGGTAATCAAAATTTAAACAGAAAACTTGGATAGAATCACCAAACGAACATTTCTTCTGTCATTACAGAATTTATGGTGCATGGTTCTTACCTCTTACGAGAGAGAGAGAGGAGAGAAAAAGAGGGTTTAACCTCCACTAGAGACAAACTAGGTCATTTCGGGACTAAAATATGGTTCAATTTTATTTCAATAATTCGCTTGTGCGTAGAGGTCTTTAGCAGCGGGAGGAAACAGAATGACCCTTAGAAAACCCACGAGGTTGGACAAGCAACCCTACTCCTTGTCATGTACAACCGGGGAATTGAAACCACGCCAGTCGACTCAATGACAGACCTTATGATACAGCACGCACATGCTAACCATTCGGCCACCCAACAACACTTAGTTATTAGGAAAAAGGTAAGGGTTCATGCTCCAAGTGAGGAAAATCATATTATTAGAAACAGCAATGAGGGGAATTAAATACGGTATGTGGGAGGGTTAAGAACTTTTGGATCCCATCCAACACATGACATTCTTGTCAAGTATTTTTGGTGTGTCAGATATAAGGCTTGACAGAGATGAATTGTTCTTCAAAAAAAGTCCGATTAAAACACAGATCCTATTTAGTTTCATTTTACTTAGTCTTCACAACACTAGGATCTGGAAAAGTTATTATATAACCTATGTTTTGGTTGAAGTGAAGAATTAGCAAATGTGTATCAGATATCAGGCTTGACTGAGATGATATATTATTCGAAACAAGTCCAAACTTACTCATTTTTGTTGTATGATCAAATTGTAGATGTTCCTCTAATAAACTGTTCTCTGGTCTTAGAGTAGCTCCTACTTCTCCAGACATCTGCCATCCCTTGGATGCTAAATTTGAAATCTCCAACTTGTTGATCTGTTTTTTTAGCTTTAAAAAAAGAGAATAAAAATCAGAAATAAAGTTTTAAATCATTGTGTCTCTTAAACTTTAAAATGTTACGACGCATACCAAAGATTTCCTAATACCAATTATTAACGTAAACATACTCTTGAAAAATATCCTGAAGAATTGACAGGCAATAGTTTCAGTCTTTAGAAATAAATTTAGTCTTTTTTATGCATTTCCCATATCAAATCATAAGACTGTAAAAATAATCTTTAAAATCATTGCATTGCAATCAGCTGTTAAATTTTCAAGGAATTTTGCCATCAGATTGGCTGGCTATTGTTTTCAAATAAACTGTTAATGTTTCCCTTGTTTTTCCTTAGAATAATTAACAAATTATACATACTGTAAATTGACAGGTTATACATAAACTGTTTACACATCTTTTAACACAACACAAGTATATTAAATACAATTTACTTAGATGTTTATTTCTGGCAAATTTTCGACAAAACAGGGTTCTCTTTCATCAAACAACTAATTACAACCATGATATATTGAAGATGAGAGAACCCTTGTCGAAACATCGCTAGAAATATTAAGACAGGTTATACGTACTTTATCTTGTCTGATCTCGTATGATGACTTGACATCTTCTTTTTTAGCACCACCACCAAGTATATCTGTTACATCTTCTCCATCACTTTCTGTAGCTTTCAGTAGATCAACTTTACTTTTTGTTTTCATTAATTCTTCAAAGTCTTTTTCATCGTCATTATCATCTTCATTTGCCTCACTACCCTCCTCCTCCTCATTTTCATCCTCTTCCTCCTGATCATCTTCACCTTCATCACCATCATCTTCTTCCTCACTCCCATCCTCATCATCATCCTCATCATCTTTCATTTCACTAAAATTTATAGATCAATATTATAAAAATCATAAACTTTAACCCAGTTATTAAATCAAGGTGTGGGATTAGAAAATACTTCATTTGTACATATCAATACACATTCATGCATACCTCAGAGTTATATATTTTAAGGTCATGAATTGTGTATCCATGAAATGCGCACCCTAATGTATATACATGCTAAATAACATAATAAGCTCACTCTTCTTGATCATCCTTAAATCTAACTTGCTTGTTTTCCACCATACTTTCACCCTCAGCATCATCAAAAAATTCATCATACATTGCATTTCTAGCATCTTCCCCCTGGAAAATAGTATGGCAAAAATAATATGATGTCATTATTCATGCATTACTCCTCCATTGCTTGATTCAATTGTACATTTCAGTTGAGATAGATCATGTATCGAAATTATTCTTTCCTGCTAATTTAGCGTAAGAAACAGAAAATCTTCAGAAATCATTGTATGTTGAAGCAAAGCAACCAAGCCAAATTCCTATATTATCCATTTTAGAAGCGCCTATGACAAACTGGCTATTTGTAATTGTTAGTCATTTACAGATGTGGGTATTAAAGTGTAGTACAACTATACACCAAAACGTGTCTTAAAAATAAAAATATTATGGAGGTCATTTTATTTTTATTACCTCCTCATCTTCAATATCTTGAAACATATCAATATCATCATCATCTTCATCATCTGCTCCTCCATCTCCCATATCTTTCTTTCTTTTTCGTTCATCTCTATTTTCCTGTTCATTAAGAAACTCTTCTAACTGAGACAACTTGAAAAAGTTATCATCAACCACACTAGATTTTTTCGAGGATTTAGATTTTGAAATTGGAGCTGAAGATTTATCTTTTTTGTCTTTTTCACCCTGTTTAAGAATATCCTCATCTGTTTCACCTTCTTCACTTCCCATATCAACATTATCAAAGTCAAAATCAATTTCATCTTCGGAATCAGAATTCTCTGCTCCATTTAACTGTGATTTATAATTTGTAATCTCTTTGTCTATTTCACTTTCTTCAGATTCTTCGCTTTCATGTGGATTATCAATATCTTCATTTTCTGAATCGTCTGCATCTTCGGGTTCATTTTGCGTGTTTTCATCGTTTTGAATGTTAAAATGTATAGAGTTTTTTCCAGCTACTAATTGTGAAACAGAAGACAGTAAATTTGACACATCTAGTTCATTGTTTAATTCTAATTCTTGCCATATTTGTTCCTCGTCAAAATAGTCAACAATTAATTCAGATAAAACATGCTTCTTCTCTGTAATTTCACTTAATATGTTCCAGTCATACAATTGTTTTGTACATTTCTTAAATTTAACTGCTAATTTTTCTTGTGGGCTAAAAAATAATTTTTACAATAGGTTTATTATTTCATAAGGAATCAACATTTGAAAGAAGAAGCTTAAGCCTAGTATTTATTGCCAGGGCCTTGTCCCACATTAATGACACGGAGACCTAGGGTATGCCGAAAATTCAGATGAACATTATCGGCCAACACCATGATTGACCTCGAAACCTCTGCGTTAGTCACTGAGCAACTGTGGCTCTGTTATAATTACTTAAATTAGTGTACAAATCGAATTCTTCTTAATCTTCTTTGAAACCAAAATCTTTACAACCAACAAAACAAAATATTATTATTCAAATTTAATAGTTTTAATACCGTAATTTATTTTTGAGTCTTGATTTAAATTAAAGAGGAAATGAAATGATATGAAATGGTGTTTAATGTCCTACTGTTCTGCTCTGACTGGGCTAATAAAGACGGGCATATGACATGCAGTGTCAGTGTGCTACATGTATGACTATGAGTATGAGGGAAATTTTGCCTGGGCAGCAGCACTATGACTATGGCCTACTCTTATATCGAATTCCAACTGCCAAGGGATCTTTTACGTGCACTCCAATGTTTACACGAGAAAAGAGGATATAAAGCATAAATAATAAAAGGATGTGTTCTGTTACTTAAGAAGCACAAGACAGACTGAAGAAAATAAATAAATAATTTTATAAAAGTCTGCCTGGCTTATTTTGGAATCACGTGTCAGTTGGTAAATAATAACTGTTTAGCACTTTTAGTATTTATTCTTTACTTGCACCTATAAAATTTCTTATGGAATATGACCAATATACCTTAAAAAATCCTCTAGTTTTTTAGTGGCATTTAAAAAATCCGACAATGTGTTCTCCACGAGGAAATTTGCTGCCATTTTGGTTTTACTATTACAAAATTTCACATTTTCCGGATTACGAAATTATAATGTGATAAACGACATTATCCTGTAGATCCGTGTGCTATGATTGTTTAATAAATGGATTATTTAATTCATGCCAGACTATTTTAACATTTTTCATTTTAGCAATTATTTATGTAGATTTACGTTCGTATGTTTATCAAATATCAAATTTACTTTTACCAACAGGCAACAGCTCCCTCTCGTGGTGGTTGATATTGACTAGTAGCAAAAAGTTAATATTATTGTTAACATTTTGGTGATCTGAATCGATTTTTATTCCATTTGAAGTCTTATTGACCTTGTAAGAATAATCTCTTTTTCTCTGTTGGAGACCGAATTACATTTTGTTATTTGATCAATCCTAAAGCGCAGGCTGTATTGTATATCTTGACATTTGTGGAGCCGGAGTTATTGAATTTTTGAAACCATTAAATAATTATTAATACCTGTATTTAGTAGATCTAATTACTGGGGTTAGATGTTTAACAATATATTTTTGTTGAACTTTATGTCAACAGGGATAAGATTGAAAAATATTATATTTCTAAGAATATTCCCAGTCCATCTTGTACTTTCCTGATTGAGTCAGATCAAACTGCTTGTTACCAGTAAAAATATAACTGGAAATACCCAGATTTCTTGTTGCTCTTACATAACCACAAGCAACATGTGATGTAGAGTTTATAAAAGAAATGAATGAGCTTTAGAATCCAATAAACTTTAATACTTTGTCAAGATAGCACACTGGTATTTGGCACCTCTTGGGGGCAGATTTTCTTTTTCTTAATTTATACTAGACAGATATTTTAGAATTTTATTTTACATTTCACTTTTACTTTCATTTTCTCTGGTTGGGACACCTATTTATTATTATATTAAGATCCTCTTGGAAATCTACAGACATTATAATGGTATATTTGATATGTTTACTATACATTTTGTTAGTTTTATTTCCATGAGAAAATAATTATTAGTACTCAGCAAAATATATTTAACATCATGTAGGTAATACACAAAAAGGTTGTGTGCTTGGTGATTAAAGTAGGACTACACATCACATTGTTGCTTGTACACTAAACAGAAAAGAAAACCAATTTTTATTTATCAAAAATCTTATTGTTAGATATATGTATATTTAATTCCTACCTAACAACATAATGTAAATTGTTTACTAATAGATGTGAATCGCATCTGGTTATTATGTGTTTTAGACTGGATTTGCATGAGTGTTTTAGTTACTTATGTTTCCAGACTTGGAAATAACAATTTTAGTTTTACCTAAGAAAATGTCAGACATGATCAAATACTGAGCTGGCATTTTTAATCTTAAAAATATCAATAAAGTATGTTCAATTTGAGCCTCACAAACTGAGAATTTGTGCCAGACAATATCAGTACGGGTGACTGATGTCCAGGCTTGATAGTTTCTGTGGTTTCTAATATTTAAAGCAGTATTAAAATGAAATTTTATGTGGGTAGGTGATGCAGGACAGAGGGCCTGACAAGGACAACTGTCTAGTCATTCGGATGGGATAAAAAACCAAGGTTCCGTGTACACATTTGACATTGGTGTGCACATAAAAGATCCCATGACAGTAGGAATTCTATATAAAAGTATGCCGTAGTGCCGCTGTCCAGGCAAAATTTCCCTCATAGCACACTGTATAGCGTATTCCTATCTTCATTAGCCCAGTTCGAAGCAGAACAGTAGGACGATAAACCCCATTTCTTTTCATTTCCATTGGTAGACTTAACATATGGGATGGGTAGAGACAGTAGAATTAACATAAATAGTTTTTTGATGAATAAACATTGTCTGATGTGTGTAGTTTTAGAGTAAGCTTATTATTGGACTTACTATAGTAGCAGGGACAGTCAGTTGATTATGAGAAATCACAGATGAATGTTTCTTTATGTTAATCTTATAATAAATTATTTAACAACACTTCCCTTGATCTTTTACAGAATTTGTCAATGAAGATTAACAGCCATAAAATTACTTTATAACTGTAAACTCATCATTATTCATTATGAGTATATTTGGAGGCGGAACATCATCTTTCGGCCAGAGTACTGTATTTGGACAGGGTACAACCCAGACAGCACAAAACATGAACCCTATGAAGGATTTTGAGGTAACGTATTAGTTAGCAAATGTATCTAAATCAACCAAATTATATCACCATATACCAGTGTAGGTCAACACTTTGAACTATTTATGGTTTTGAGTTATGTCATTTGTTTTTCCCAAAATCCAACTACATTGAATGAGGCTTCATGGCGCTAATAGAGTATACATGAATTATAGGATATAAACAATAAACAACAATGTCTGTTCTGATAAGGGGGGTTGAATGGCCGAATAGTTAACCCATGCGCGTTTGGTCATTGAGTCAAGCTGAGTGGTTTTGACTCCCTGCTTGTATGTGATGAGGAGTAGGGTCTTCTGTCCAACAATGTCTGTTCTGATAAGGGGGGTTGAATGGCCGAATAGTTAACCCATGCGCGTTTGGTCATTGAGTCAAGCTGAGTGGTTTTGACTCCCTGCTTGTATGTGATGAGGAGTAGGGTCTTCTGTCCAACCTTGTGAGTTTTCTCTGGGTCCTCCGTTTTCCTCACACCGCTAAAGACCACTAGGTGCTAGCGACTTATTGAAATAAAATTGAACCATATGTTAGTCCTGAATTGACCTAGTTTGTGTCGAGTAGACATTAAACTCTCTCTCTCTGTTACACTATAAAATGTTTATATAAATGTTTATTTTATAGGTGACATCTCCACCAGATGATAGTGTTAGCTGTTTAAAGTTCAGTCCCGGTGTCTTACCATCAACATTTTTAATAGCTGGTAGCTGGGATAATAACGTTAGTACTTTTATAACTGAAGATGTTTACTTTTGTTTTATGTTATATTTGTTCATAATGTTTGTCTATTTGTATGACACTTTATGTAAGTTACATCTAACTTATTTATATTGGCTAGACAGTGTACGAAATTTTAGATTAATCTACTGATTTGCTAGTATAGTATATAAGTCAGTTACAAGGATAAAGTGTCTTACTCCATAGACAGATTTTTTTTTTTGATTATTACGAAACAAGAATATTTTGAGCCAGATTTTGTTTTAAATATTACCCACTGCATATGTTTATGAGAGCCATGGTGGCTAAGTGAATAACCTGTTAAATCCAAGTATTGACAGTAAAAGTTCCCATTTGTCAGTGATATAGTCATTCGGAAGGGGCCCCCCCCCCCACAGATTGGCGTGCAGATACATGTAAAAGAATACTTGACAGTTGGAGGACGTAGGCCGTTGCGCCGCTGTCCATAGCACACTGCATGACGTTTGCTCGTTTTCATTTTCCCAGTCTGTGCAGAAGGATGTTAAGCCCCATTTTATTTCCTTTCTATGTTTCTGTCTTACAGGTTCGATGTTGGGAAGTACAACAGAATGGTCAAACCGTACCAAAAGCTCAACAGACACACACTGGACCTGTTTTAGATGTAGACTGGAGTGATGTTAGTATATCAATTATCACATCTACTCATTGTAAATAATAGTCATAGACTTTCACAAATAATCTCTTGTTTATTCATTACTTAGTGTTCCCCCTTGTCAGTGGTATGTATAGTTGTTCAGATGGGATGGAAAACTGAGGTCCCATGTACACCTTGGCTTGCACATAAAAGATCCCATGGCAGTTGGAACTCGATATAAGAGTAGGCTGTAGCACCACTGTCCAGGCAAATTTTCCTCATAGAACACTGTATGGCATATGTCCAGCTTCATTAGCCCAGTCGGAGTAGAACATTTCATTTCAATACTTAATTGTATTATGGAAAATTGGGCATTTTAGATAAACATTTTTTTTCATATGCAAGCTTTTATATTATATATCATTAATGGGTTAGGCAGTAACTAAATAAGAATAGGAATGCGTAAGTCACACGATCTGTAATATCATCACCATGTTGAGTAGACTGATAGCTTTACATTAATCTGGTTCTACTGAATGCAGCACTGGTCAGTATTATTTATCACATGAAATGGCTGATCTGAAAGTTTTAATTTTGAATATGTATTTTGAAACAGGATGGTACCAAAGTTTTTACAGCATCATGTGATAAAACAGCCAAGATGTGGGACCTCAACAGTAACCAATGTACACAAGTTGCTCAGGTAAATTAATCATTTAGCTCATATAATAAAGAGAGAGAGAGAGAGAAATGGGGTTTAACATCCAATCGACACAGACTAGGTCATTTCGGGACTTATATATGGTTTAATTTTATTTCAATAATTCACTTGCGCCTAGGGGTCTTTAGCAGTGGGGGGAAACCGGAGGACCCGGAGAAAACCCATGTAGAACCAAGGATTTGAAACTAAGCCAGTTGACGCAATAACAGGCCTTATGATACAGCACGCACATGCTAACCATTCGGCCATCCAACCCCCCTAATAATGATAAAGAGATTTATGGGAATAATATGATGGTTGAGTTTGTGAAATAATATATATAAATAATATAAACATGTGAATTAGAAAAAAAAACACACTACACAAAATAATCCAATTATTTGGCACATACACAGGCCTGAAAATAATGGTTTTAGATACACCTGACAAAATGTTAGACACTAATGAAATAGTACCTGGCATTTTCAACTTAGTGCCGGACATGTAAAAATAATATCAATAAAAGAGACGCATCAGTGCCAGACAAAATGACAGGCACCAGAGATTTTGTGCCTGACAAGGCCTGAATCTGTGCCTGACATTGTCTGTGACAGGTGCCTTATTTCCAGGCTTGTCATACAAGTTGGTATGTCTTCTGAAAGACACATAGGATAATCGAAATAATCAAGGAAGACTGTGGCTGTGACGCCACAATTTACGAATTGATATAAAACATAATATAAATCTGTTGTGTATGAAAATCAGGTGAACGTGTTTACCTGACTTTGGCAAAGTAATTTACTTGTGCGTTAGAAAAAAAACACACCCAACACAAATTATTCATTCAGTTAAAGATCAGACAAGTTGTTCTAGCTATTGGACCTATAGTTTTATAAATTATGTTGAACATTGAAATCATTTATGCATGCGTTTTTATTTAACATGAAAAATGGAGGGGAATGGTAGCACTTCCTTAAAACAGTAACAGAGAGTGTACAGGCCAGTAGATCTGTGTACCTGCTGGATCAAACAATGATGCTGGCTGGGAGTGTAGACATAAATAAAAATATAAAAATCCCTGCTCAACAGTAGTACAGACAGATTTTAAGTAGAAATAAGAGGTGGTTTATTCTTTAAAACGTTTCTTTTTTATTTACAGCATGATGCACCAATAAAAACAGTGAACTGGATAAAAGCTCCTAATTATAGCTGCCTCATGACTGGTAGTTGGGATAAGACACTAAAGGTAAATGGATTGAAATCGGTTTAAGTGAGGAGTAATCAGTTTCATTGGTCGATGCTTTGGTGCATGATAACTGGCTTCCTATGACAGTTGTCTAGTTGTACAAGTTTTGAACATAAATGTATTCAAGTAATCAGTACAACATCACAGCTCGAAATCCAGTCCCTTGTCATCTTCAATAGAAGGCATGATCTCGCTTTAACTCTATACATTGTATCAAGTCCTTCACGTAAATATACCCTGCATAACGGCACTAATTTCAATTGGTTCCTGACCCAGCTGGGGACCTAGATTCCTCAATCATCGCGAATACCAAGTCTCACACTTTCCAGCTAAAAGGTCAAGGTTCATTCAGTGTCAACGTTTCCACGGAGGTCACCATGTTTGATTTGAGTGTGTTTGTGTCACAACCTCTGATTGGACATTATTGTTCATGTGTCTGAGGTAAAGGGAGAGGAGATAACGTAGCAATAAGTTTGGGAATTCTAAAGTAATCTAGCAACGTCTAGATGTTGTAAAACTCGCGGTTGTTGCTTCAGGAACATTACATGGCCCCTCTGCACAAGAGCTTAAAGGTCACCGGAAAAGCATCAATTTTTTTTTAAATAATATGTAAATATTAAAAAGTAAATATACTATTCAAAAAAAGTAGGGGATATTTGATTTTGGGGGCATAATACTAAAATATGCAAATGACTACGAAAAAAGTCACTATAGAACCTAACAGAAGAAACATTTCCAGTTACATGTGACGCCCAAACGCACCAATAGCTACCGCATGGAATGCAGGTGATGCTTGGGATCATCATGGGGGTCCAACCCAAGATTTGCACGACTCTGACTTTGAATGTTACAGTCATTGTGGCATTGAATTCCAGGGTGGAAACATCAGTTTAATTGTTTTAGTGACCAGAAAACAAATTTTGATATGCGTCGGCTTACCCAAAATGAAAGGTTACGTGCCCTTGGCATGCTACAGATCGGCACAACACAGGCGGTTGTGGCGCGGACGATGAATGTTTCTCAGTCTGTCATAAGCAGGCTATGGTCCAGATACCGTGATACACAATCTGTACAGGACAGACCACGCTCAGGTCGACCAAGGGTGACAACTCAAGCCCAGGATCGATTTATCCGTACCTTGGCCTTGAGAAATGGTGTCATCACAGCAAATCAGATCAGCGCTCGTCTTCAAACAGACACTGGTGTGAGAGTGAGTGGCCAGACGATTCGGAATCGACTGCATAGGGGTCACCTTCGCGCCCGACATCCTCGCGTGATCCCTTGTTTGAGAGATCATCACATTCAGGCAAGACGTCGTTGGTGTAGGGATCGTCAACACTTGGATAATCGACGCTGGAGCAATGTGATGTTTTCAGATGAGTCAAGGTTCACTGTTGATTTTTTGGACAGACGTAGGAGGGTGTGGCGTCATCGAAACGAGCGCTTCCAAGACGTTAACGTCATCAGACATGATCGATTTGGGGGTGGTTCTGTTATGGTGTGGGGAGGCATCACTGTTGCTGGGAGAACGGCTTTACATGTTGTTGCAGGGCGTGTTACAGGCCAGTACTACCGGGACAACATCTTGGCAGTCCATGTTGTGCCGTTCGCACGACGTCATGGCCGCCGTTTCATCTTCCAGGATGACAACGCAAGATGTCACAGGGCCAGGATCGTTACAGGTTACCTCCAACAACAGAACATCACCACATTACCTTGGCCAGCACTGAGTCCCGACCTCTCCCCCATCAGGTAAATTTCAACATTTGTAATTTCCGCCGTTCTCCGTGGGTAGTCGACACTTTCCGTGAATAAGCAATCCGTGACGTCATTTTAGTCCTTCTGCACATAGAAATATAGACTAGAATATGAGCAGAAGGACTAAAATGACGTTTATTTACGGAAAGTTACGACTACCCACAGAGAATGACGGAAAATACTAATGTTGAAATTTACCTGTTGCTGGTAATATTGACATTCAGGTTCGTGTTATACTTATGGAAAGGATATGTTGACATAATTACTTGCATTATTTAAAAAAATTATGAACCTTTTCCGGTGACCTTTAAGACAATTAACCCAAGACAACTTTATTTTATTTATCAAGTAATGTATATGATTTATTTTAGTTTTGGGACACAAGAACACCAAACCCTATCTTATCTATAACTTTACCTGAAAGAGTTTATTGTGCTGACGTGGTAAGTGTAAAAACAAATAATCTGTTATATTCATAAAAATAATTAATATCTTAAGAGTACATGGATACGAAATTTGTCCCAAAATAATAGAACTTATTACATTCTATTTTTTTTCATCAACCCCTCAAATGACATTGCCCCTCACATAATCAAGAATTAATTTACTACAATTTGCAAATAAACAAAATAATGCATATCTATGAGAAACTGGACAGAGTTCTTATTCTTGTTGTGAAATTGTTCAATTTCCACACCAGCCTAATGGATAGTAATATATTGTTTTCTGTGTGTGAAACATGTCTATTTTCTTTTAGAAATACCCAATGGCTGTAGTAGGAACTTCTGGTCGAGGAATTATTATTTATCAGTTAGAAAACCAACCCCAAGAGTTCAAAAGAATGGAATCGCCATTAAAATATCAGGTAATCTTTCAGAAAATAATCTTTACTTTTGAAATATTGGTTGTGGAAGGTTAAAAACCATCTGCATGTTTTCTATCAATAATAATAGTCCTGGGACTTAGTGATCAAATAGAACTTCTGGTCCAACAAGGTTAGTAATAAAAAAAAATGATGGTTCAAATATACCTTCCACATGTCTAAACTAATATTCGTGACTGTCGTTTGTCTGTCTGTCTGTTCAGTGTTGGCATCTACATTAGAGCTGTCCCGAGGCTGAAATTTTGTGTATAGTGGTAGCTCGAACCGGGGGGTAACATAAGATAGGTAGTGTTAGTCTACCTTATCCGGTTTTGGAGTTACGGGCACAACCTGGGCAGCACCAGGTTATCAACTAGTTACAATATAATAGTAAGCAATGTCTGTCTCACACCACATTTTTTATCAGGACTAAGAGAAAGAGAGAGGGAGAGAAATGGGGTTTAATGTCTTCTCGACACAAACCAGGTCATTTCGAGACTAACATATGGTTCAATTTTATTTCAATAATTCGCTTGTGCTAAGGGGTCTTTAGCAGTGGGAGGAAACAGAGGACCCTGAGAAAATCCATGAGGTTAGACAGACGACCCTACTCCTTATCACGTACAAATGGGAAATCGAAACCACACCAGTTGACTCAATGACAGACCTAATGATACAACGCGCAGGCACTAACCATTCTGCCACAGGACTGAGAGAACTGTGGCAAATTCCAAACACAGATTCAAGAAACCCTTTCATAATACAATTGGTGTTGGCTAGAAATCCATGTCCTCTGATAACCCTTCCCAACCAAACTAAGCCAAACATTTGATAATAATTATTTAATTAAAATGTTTATTATTCCTGTTTCAGTCGAGATGTATGAGTATATTCCTAGATAAGAAGACAAGTGCACCAACCGGTTTTGCTCTAGGCAGTATTGAAGGAAGAGTGGGAATACAGTATGTGAACCCAACAAATCCTAAAGATAACTTCACCTTTAAATGTCATAGGTCAAATGGATCTACTGGCGGTATGCAAGATATTTACCCAGTAAGTTGTAGTAAACACATTAATTGATATGATTGGTTTCAGTAATTATGGGGACACACTAACTGCTTGGTTTCAGTAATTATGGGGACACACTAACTGCTTGGTTTCAGTAATTATGGGGACACACTAACTGCTTGGTTTCAGTAATTATGGGGACACACTAACTGCTCGGTTTCAGTAATTATGGAGACACACTAACTGCTTGGTTTCAGTAATTATGGGGACACTCTAACTGCTTGGTTTCAATAACTATGGGGAACGACGGTGGCTGAGTGGGAAAGACGTTAGCTCGCTAACCTGCGTTGGCCGAGAAAGTACATCAGGATTTTCTGACGTGGCTCCTCCTTGTCAGTGGTGCAGTGTCCCTTGTACACATTGGCGTGCACGTAAAAGATCCCTTTACAGTTGAAATTCGATATTAGAGTAGGCCGTAGCACAGCTGTCAGGGCAAAGTTTCCCTCATAGCACACTGTATAGAATATGCTTGTCTTCATTAGCCCAGTCGGAACAGTAGAACAGTAGGACGTTAAACCCCATTTCATTTCATTTAATTAATTATGAATGACTGTTCATAATAACAGTTAATTATTACTGCCAGATAGTTCAAAATGCAAAAACACTAAATGACCCAAGTCACAGATAAAGTTGAAGACATAATTTCATTGAATGTCATGCATTATTTAGTTTTGATAATAAACCCCATGTTTTATATTCTAGGTAAATGACATTTCATTCCATCCAGTTCATGGTACCTTAGCAACAGTTGGCTCGGATGGAAGATTCAGTTTTTGGGACAAAGATGCTCGAACCAAATTGAAGACATCAGAAGTATTTGATCAGCCCATCACATGTTGTAATTTCAATGCCCAAGGAAATATATTTGCATATGCATCTAGCTATGATTGGTCTAAGGTAACTAAATTTTGCTCAATGATGATTCATGAAGTGTAGAATATATCCCAAGTCTTGAGCACATGTTGGGGTTAATCCTTTTAGTTGCAGGTACTTGTTGACTGCCCTATAGCCAGTTTTGACCATTTCTGGGGATTTCAATGAGTAGGTTCACAAGATAGTTTATTTCAACCTAACTGATCTATCTCTTTCGGACTTGGAACTTTTCAGCCAGTCCTCGTATCAATAAAAACACTGAAAAAAGACAAAATGACAGAGGTTATCTCTGACAAATCCTGAATTTCTGCCTGACATTGTCTCAGCAATGGTACTTCCGTTTTTACGAAACGTTATCTTGATAAACACGAGAGTACGATCATCAAAACTTTACATGTTGTAATAAACCACTTTGAAGGATTTGCGGAGAAAATTAAGGGAAATCACGCATTTTAATTTCAATTTTGGTAGGCCTATATATATTTTTTTAACAAGATGAAAATATCAAGATATAATATATTTATTTTCTTTACAGGGACACGAAGGTTACGACCCACAGAAGATGAAACCACACGTGTTCCTACGTTCATGTTTTGAGGAATTAAAGCCATCAACTAAGAGAGCTTAATGATATGTTGTATATAATATGAATCAAAATCATTGTTATATGAATGTGCTTCATCTTCTTTATTAAATCATGAACATATAGTTGTAAAATGAAATGAAATGGAGTTTAACGTCCTACTATTCTGGTCTGACTGAGCTTATGATGACGGGTCTAATTGAATAAGAGAATTTCTAAATGTATCAAAGCATTTTTTTGAAGATTTACATTGTCTATAAATATGATTCAGTTTCCATCTTTTAAGTCGAATCCGCTGTTTTTAAGGGGGGAGGCTATACGAAAATACCTTGTGGGTTTTCACCGGGTCCTCCAGTTTCCTCCCCCTCTAAAAGCCCCTATGCACAAGCGAATTATTGAAATAAAAATGAACCGTGTGTTAGTCCCGAAATGACCTAATTTGTGTCAGTGAAGGTTAAACCTCATCTCTCTCTCTCTATCCAAAAATTTTTATTCTGAAATGTTAAAGCTGTTGAATTGAAAATGCTACAAGTAGTTAGGAAATGTAATAAACAAGGGAAAACTAGCATTTAAAAAAAAGTTGTTGCCAGGGTAACACATTTTTTGGAAAAAAAATTCACTAGCTTTAGAATTTCAGAAAACAGTTTTCAGGTAGCCTCACCCCTTAAAGAAGTACAGTGAATACTTTTTACTTGAAAAGTTAAGAATAAAGCTATCTAAAAGTTGTACTTTTAACAAAACAGGATGTTAAATAAGTCAAATTTTGATCCAGATGATCCAGAAAATTAATGTTTTAAAGCAGTTAAATCCCAGTTCATTTTGACAAATCTCTATATGAAGCCTATATATTGAAAAACCTATTCGTGCTTTGATGGAATTAGTGGTAAAATATTAAACTATTTCTATATTGCATATTATTATTCCATTTCTTTATCTTGGGAAACAATTTAAAATACAGGATAGGTATTTTAGTAACTCTAATAATTAGAGTTCAATATTTTCAAATAATCGTAAGTCATGATAATATGTATGTTTGTTCGTTTTACAAACTATTTACCCATTGAATCATTTTGTAAATATATCATATGTAAAAATATATATTTTTGTTGTTGTTTATTGTCCCCCGCCTTTCGAAGAAAGCAGGGGACTATTAAAATGGGTTCGTCCGTCCGTCTGTCTGTCTGTCTATCCGTCTGTCTGTCCGTCACACTTTTTGGGACACAATAACTCTCCTTCTAATTGGGCTAGAATGTTCAGACTTGGTGTAGGTGTTTATGAGGCCGATGCCATGATAGAGTGTGAAGATGAGCATTTTCTGCTTATGGTAAGTAGAGATAACCAATTTCATTGGTTGATGCTTTGGGACACAATAACCTTAGTTCTAATTAAGTGAAGAGTGATGAAACTTGGTGTTATAGTTTCATTACATCAATACCTTGACTAAGTTCGATGATGAGAGTTTCTGCTTAGGCTAAGGAGCAATAAGCATTTTGATTGGTCAAGACTTTGGAACATAACAAATCTGTTTCTAATTGAGATAGAATGTTTAAACTTGATGTAGATGTTCGCCTTGACTGAGTTCAATGATTAACATATCGAGCTAAAGCTAAGCAGAGATAAGCAAGTTCCTTGGTCGATGCTTTGGGACAAGATAACTTTGATTCTATCTGATAGAGAGTGATGAAACTTAGTGTATAGTTGATAATCAGTTTGATTGCTCGATACTTTTGAAAAAAATAGATGTGTGATTAATTAATATGTGTCATCTATTTATTTGGGGATTTCGGCGGGGGACATCAGCCTCACTGTTGGCTTGTTTTTCCAGCTATGACTTAAGGCATCATTCCTCGTTATCCACTCCTGTTTGAAGTCTCCAAAACAAAGCTTCCGTAACCAGCCCAGAAATATTTGAACATGGGGTATTTTTTATCAACCAAAAAATGAACATATATATTTGCAATGCGAATACAGAGTGACAAATGTATCGCAAATTCCTAACCATTGTTTGCTTGATTACAAAACTTTTAGCTACTGTCTGCCTCATCACCGACTTCTCGACACTATTTGCTTCATGACAAGTCTTATTGCCACTTTTTGCCTCATGACAAGACCTATTGCCAATATTTGCCTTATTACACTTCTGCTACTATTTGCTCCATGGCAAGACTTATCGACACTATATGCCTTATTACAGGCTTCTTGCCATTGTTTTGCCGATATGAAGGTCTGTTGTGTAAAATACAAACAAAAATCAGATTGTCAATATACAACTCTAAGCTGAGGAGCAAAGTAGGCAGAAATGTCACTGTGCATGCGAAATTCTCTCCACAGGTTGGACACTTAAATATACAAATGAAAATTATCACATGTTTTCCTCAAATTGACCCCACCATTTCATTTATAAAACATATGTGCAGAGGATCCAAAGAGTCTAGCTATGACCTTGTTAAGTCGTATTTTAAATAATGACAAAAAAAATAAACTATTTATTTTCATAAATGATATCAAATATACATTAATAAAATATAAAATTCAAAATAGAAATAGATAAAAAGTTTTACAAGTGCTTGAAAAATCCTGAACAGTTTCTGGGGCTGGTTGCAGATTGAAAAGATGGAAGAAACCCTGTGATTATTTGTGAAATTATGTAATTGAGATTATGAAACCAAGAGCATCAATGTTTACAGAAGCCCATCACATCTATTAAAATCAGCTTTTTTCAGTAAAATCAACACTAAGATAATACTGTGATCAATATTCAATCCTTATTTCACAATCTTTGTGAATTACTAAGATTTCTGTGAGTTTGGGGTGATCAAATGCTGGAATGTTCTTCAGAGAGAGAGAAATGGGATTTAACGTCCACTTGAAACAAACCAGGTCATTTCGGGACTAACATATGGTTTAATTTTATTTCCATTATCCGCTTGCATGTAGGGGTCTTTAGCAGTGGGAAGAAACCAGAGAAAACCCACAAGGTTAGACAGGCGACCCTACTCCTTGTCACGTACAACCAGGGAATCGAAACCACGTCAGTTGACTCAATGCCATCCAACCCCCCTATGTTCTTGAGACTCTCAGATCTTGCTAACAACACACAATGTTACACCAACCATTACAAACATCATACCAATACAAGTTTCTATGGGATAAAAAAAAAACAATTGATAATATCAATGCTGTAAAATATCTACATTTAAATGAGATACATCAGTTGATATTGTAAACAAGGGAAAACTAACATTAAAAAGAAAAAGAAAAAATAGTTGTGGCCAAGGTAACACATTTATTTTTTTGAAAAAGTATGAAAAATGTAGATACACCATATCTCAGGCACTAATAAAGATAGATGTCTCATTTTCGGAATGCTTATTCTTTAATGATAACTCTAAAACCAGACAGAGAGTTTTTCTCTATAATTTTTATCGTTTCTTGGAAAATAGTGCTTAAAAACATTTGCCTCACCACAATATTTTGTCTTCTGAGAAATATTTTGATAACTTTTGCAATATTAATGATAACTGAAATTGCTTTCTGTCTGATTCTGTGGTAGATATTTGTTATATATCCTGCAAATTTGGTGAAGATATCATAATTAGTTACAGAGATGGGGTGTACCTACGTTTTTCATAATTTTTTCCCCAAAAATATGTTACCCTAGCAACAAGTTATTTTAAAGATACATTCCCGCGTACATACTGGGTGATTTAATAGTATATATGGACTAAAAACATATTCAAACTAATTAATTTGTCATAATTTTGCTTCAAATCTTTCTTAAACACTGTAATTGCCAAGGAATGCCCTGCTATAAAAATTCTATCAAACCAGGTCATGTTTATATCACTTGACTTACCTCTCTTTGAAGTCAGTTGAGAATTCATTGCATACATAAGACGATGTTGTCTTTAATCGCTTACTATTGATTACAAATATCAAATCCTAATTAAATTCTCAGATTATCCACTACCCACGTCTTTTTTCGTCATTTTTATCTCAGAAAGTGTTGTACGTCCTACTCTCATAAAGTTTATCAACTTGTACATCAAGCACTCAATGTTCGCATGTGACCTTTGACATCACGCGTGCAGAAATTCCTAATCGTCGGACTGTCGATTAGGGGAACCCTTACATTTTTGTCCTGTATACGTTCCATGAGTGTTTTTTGGGGAATCCAGTATTTTTCTAGTAAGATTGGATATCTCTACTTTCCATATATACCAAAATTGCCATACTTTTATTGGAAATAACCACCCGATAAATACTTTTCTGGCAACCCATCTTTAAATGTTAGTTTACCCTTGTTTATTACATTTCCTAACTATGTGTACCATTTTCAATTCAATAGCTTTAAAATTTAAACAAAAATATTTTTGGATAGCCTCCCCCCTTATGTAAATTAATACAAAGATGAACACTCCTTGTCTAATACACAAGAGTTGTCCAGAGTTATGGAAATATGCCTTGTCTCTCACAATTCAAATTAATTTTGATACTAACCCCTATTTGGTATTTTCTCGCCCAAGATTCTGCTTGAAAGACTGGTGAAAATGAATGTCAAAGAATTTGTAATTGGAACAGCTAATGACAAATCTACAAGATAAAAATAACATTGACATCAACAACTTGGGTTATTATTTGGGGCGGTGGTAGTCAGGGGTACTTATAACTACTAGAATGTCCCTAGTTAGAAGAGAGCCATGGTGGCTCAGTGAGTAAGACACTGGCTTACTAGCTTGGAGGTCGCAGGTTTCATCACGGTGTTGGCCATAAAAGTTCAGTGAGATTTTCCAGCATGGTTTTCCCTTGTCAATGGTGCAGGATGGAGGACCTGACAAGGACAGATGTCTAGTTGTTCAGAAGGGATGAAAAACCAAGGTCCAGTGTTGCATTGCACGTAAAAGATTCCTTGGCAGCTGGAATTTGATATAAAAGTAGGCGATAGCACTGCTGTCCAGGCAAAACTTCCCTCATAGCACACTGTATGAGCACTGCTGTCCAGGCAAAACTTCCCTCATAGCACACTGCATGGCATAAACCCATCTTCATTAACCCAGTCAGAGCAGAAGAGTAGGGCGTTAAACCCCATTTTATTTTATCTCATTACCCTAGTGAGGGGTGGTGCATTTGGTGTTAACAAGAGAGAGAAATTTGGCTTAATGTCCACTTGATGCAAACTAGGTCATTTCGGGACTAATATATGGTTCAATTTTATTTCAGTAATTCTCTTGAGCGTAAGGGTCTTTGGTAGTGGGAGAAAACACACAAGTTGGACAGGCGACCCTACTCCTTGTCACATACAAGCGGGAAAGTGAAACCATGCCACTTAACTCAATGACAGACCGTTAAACCACTAGACCACCCAACCTCCCTGTGGCTAACAAGGAAAGTGTGCCTTCGGATGGGAGGAAATAACAAGGTTCACCATGTACACATTGGGGTGCACATAAAAGTATCCTTGATAGTCGGACAAATTTCTCCCACCTCACATTGTACTCGTAACCCCTATTTGGTATTATTCGCCCAAGAAACCTTGTGGGTTTTCTCCGGGTCCTCCAGTTTCCTCCCGCTGCTAAAGACCTCTAGGCACAAGCGAATTATTGAAATAAAATTGAACCATGTTAGTCCCAAAATGACCTAGTTTGTGTAGCATGGACGTTAAACACCATTTCTCTCTCTCTGTACTCGCAACCATAGAAATAAAAACGTTCCGGTTAGTTTCAAAGTGATTGAATTTTTGTGTTGACAAGACATTTAACCCCATCCTATTACTGGTCCACATCTCCCATATAAAACCCAAATTGTACCTTTAAGCCATAGTCCAGAACCCACCAAAAGTGATGTATAAATTAAAGATATATTAAAATTTCCTCTTTTCCGTCCCTTTAACACTGACCACTGGAGCAAAAGCCTCAATATACTGCTGAACTGAGTTGTCAAAATGCCATTATTACTCCATAATGAATTCAAATAAAGATAAAATTTATCTCACAGTGCCCCCCTTTTCTCAGGACTGTCTTCAGCCACCCCTGCATTAATATACTATTGGCCTACTTTTGGGTTGAATGTTGGAAAAAAAACACACAAAAAATTTTAAAAAAATAAAAAACAAACAAAAAACTAACCCAAAACCCCCCAAAAAACCCAACCTGTGTATACTTACCAGCTGATGATAACGTGATGTAGTACACAACTGATCCAGACTGATTTACAAGGAATGGAAGAAGATACTGAAAATTGTTAGTGAAAAATAATAGAATACACACATCATGTTACCAGTAAATAGCCTAAAACAATAAAGACCAGGTACTAACAGTTGTACCGGTAAGTAATACCAGGAGTCATATTCACGAAAATTAAACAAAAATAATTTAAAGGGGCATTATGAAAGTTTAGATAAAGAGCTGGCATTTCTTACTATAATAATTAAAAACTAGATAATGTAAAGGGAATATGCTGAAAATTTCAGTCAAATTTCTCCACTTTGAACCGAGGTATTAGCAATTTAATCATTAATGAGCATTGAGCAGCTGATCGGATTCAAATGCAGTGAAAATCTGACACATAAGATGGCATTCTTTGAATGGCATTTAGTAATTGGAACATAATCGAATAACACACTATTTATGGATAACAATTACTATGGTTTATTTCACTGCGACGTTTCAACAAGATTTCACAAGTTGTTATCAAGCATATAACTTATATGCTTGATAACGACTTGTGAAATCTTGTTGAAACGTCGCAGTGACATAAGATGGCAGCTAGAGTTGATTAACGTCTTTTCATGTTAATAAATGTCTAATAGTTTATATAACATTCCAGGCCTAAAGAAAGATCTGCAATAGGCAGATTTAGCTCTTACATAATGTAAGTTTAATGTTTAAATCATATTTACCTTCCAATTTGAAAAGAGAAAGATGAGTTCTGACAGGAACTGTTTTATAGGATTTTCATGTTTGATCTTTTCTATACCTTTGCTTCCCCTTTTGATAAATGGATTTGTGCCACCCCATAGAACAGCAACACAGACTAACCAAAAGGCATTTACTGAAATAAGTTACAATAAATGGCTTATGTTTTGTTTTTTTTAAACTTAAATTATTATATTATCAGTTGAAATAAGAAAATATTTTAAAGAATCTAATTGTCTTATAGTGATTCTGACTAAGAATTTTAACTCCAAATTAACCATAAAATATTTATTGAAATATAAGTTGCAATTTCTTTCCTGCAAAAGAAAAATAAATAAAGAAATCAACAAAAATATCCAGTTATAATTACATGGTTTTATGACCTCAACACAGTTATCTCAAAATCCCTACACCTAATTCTGGAAATGTCTAGCCTGCGTCTAGCTAAATCCTGACACGGAGTGCCATCGAGTAATACTTGATTGTGTGGAACATGCTAGAGTCGATTTGCAGCATATCTGACCAACGGTATATGTTTGACACTGGTTGGGCATTATGATTATAGTGTTGAAAACCGTATTAAAACTGAATGATGTTTTGCCATTTGCGAGGCGCGCAAAAACTCAAAACCACGACGCAAAGCTTGTCATTGCATCCATTGCACTTAGCCCCTAGATAAAGTGCTATGTATCTAATCCAAAGCTACTTCATCTATTCTAAATCTATGAAAGGAAAGAGTGAATGAGACTTGCTTTCACTATTAAATTTAATCGTGGACTTTCAGCATGTAAATAAAATATGAAAACTTTAATAATACCTAGCTGATCCTTACTGTCATACATCCTATAATAATTTATGTACTTTAAAACAGATTTCTCATTTAAATTTGAAAATCATGTGGAAAATACAAAATTTCAGAGAATGAGCAGACCATAGAGAATACAGCTCTATGAGCAGACCATGTTTACATTTTACATGTCACGTGTAAACTTAGCTTCCTCGAAAATTGAGCATGCGTACTTTACATTTCCGTTATAAACAGCAAGTGCGCGTAGTTGAGATTCCTTCGGAAAATACACCTTATTAGTAAGTTTGAACTAATTTAAAGATATGATATATTATCAAATGCCATGCCCTAATATTATTTATAAAATGAGCAGTGTTTATATTGCAATATAAACGGTTTCAAGAGACGTATTATTGAAATTTGAAGCAACCACCTGCACAGGTATCTAAATACCTCGGGTTTGCGGCGGTCAGATCAAACGAATGTCAAAATGAGTAACAAAGTTTTGGGTGTGTTTTAAAAGTAGGCCAAGTTGAAGTTATTAAAGTTCTGAATTTATCCTTAAAAGTCCTTGTTTTCTCTCCATTCAATATGTTTAGTACTTAGGGTGACATAAGAGTAAGACAGGGTGACGGAGAGTACTCTGTCAGCCTGTGGTAGGTGGGAATGGTTTTCTATGTGATGAGTGTAATGTACATGTAAGTAGGGGGTTGAAAGACTTTCAATTAAGCCATACCAAATAATCTAATAAAACAAAACCAATTTCTTTCATCTAGTGAATTAATTATCGGTACCTTTGCAACAGAGCTAATATATATTAAATGAACAATTACAAAAGCTTAATTTGCACCTTTGTAAATCAAATCGGTACTTAAGCCCTACATAATAATAAAATCTATTCATGTACAGTAGTGATGTGGTTTTTTTCCCAGTGGGATTATTCATCAAATAATCCAGTCATTATGACTGGGGTAAACATGACAGTAATTCACACTACAAATTTTAGGCAGTAATTATTGTTTAGTACGGTATTATATAATAATTTTTCTTTTTAATTTATTAATATGGCACTTCATTTTAATTAGTGTGCTGCTAACACTTTAACCCAGGTATCGTTTAATCTTGTGTATCTAGCACTAATTTCCTTCACATTCGTTTAATATCGAATCTTTGTTTAAAAATTTGTAAAAACTGTTTAAAATCACCATAAATCGTTTAATTTGTACATGTGTCCAGTTTAAAGCTGACTGATTAATTTATATAATGAGTGTCCAATATACAAGTATTTAATTTCCTGATCACTGTTCAAAAATTAATCATTATACATCATTAATCAATTGATTTGTTTATTTTTTAACAATGATTGAGAAATTAAACACTTGTAAATTGGACACTCATTATCAAAATTGAATGGTCAGGTTTAAACTGGACAGAAGTACAAATTAAACGATTTATGGTGATTTTAAACAGTTTTTACAAATCTTTAAACAAAGATTGGATATTAAATGAATGTGAAAGAAATTAGTGCTAGATACACAAGATTACAGTGTAATTTAGTTGACTTTAGAAATATTCATTAGAGATTAAGTAAAAACAGAAAATTGTAACCCTTGGTGACTTATAAACTTGTCATCAAATGATATTCTCTCTGATGATATTTAATTTAAATAACCCACCAATTAACATGTAGGCCTACCTATTTTTTTTAATGGGACTTTGAGATGACACTTACTCCTTGAATTCATCAAACCTGGTCAGAAATAAAATTATCCCTTTCATTAGGTTTTAAATGTTGATATTCTTAAAATTTTAGATGAATCAAAAAAAAATTAAAAAGATTATTGTGTTTCAACATTTTTTGTTAGAGAATTACTTGCAGAGTTATGCTTCTTGTTTACTTAACAGAATCAGTTGTCCAGACAAATTATTAATAACATTTTTGTTAATTTTATATGCATTGTTTGCATTGAATAAGTCAAAGAAGCTTTTTAATTTCAGAGAAGAAATCAAATTATTACGCCTTAAAATAATTGCCTGTAAAGTTTTTGTAGATTCTACATGTAGATGCTAAAGTTGTCGTTTGATCTCTTGGATCTTTGAATGCCTGGTTTACTTCGCGAAATAAAGCAATTAATGCCCCTTTAAAACAAAGTTTGTAATTTGTTGTTTTTGTCTTCACCCTAGTCCATTTGAGAGGGTAAAATTACCATCTGATTTGACAAGTTTTTTTTAAAAATTATTTCCCATGAAGAATTATGACCCTAGATCACTTTGGAATATCTTGTGGACACTGTAGAGGCTAAAATTATCATCCGATTGCAACAGCTTTTGTGGACTACAAATGTGCATGCAATTGAGTTGCCGTGAATATGTTTCATTGCATGGCAACCCATATTTAAGACTTTTTAACGTGGGTCAATCCGTATCATGATCAAATCAACCAAGAGTAGACCATTGATGGAATGTATAATGATTTGAATAAAGCCACAGTTAAATTGACACAGATTGACCTATTCACCTATGTAGCTCATAATAGATTTTCAGCATATTGAATAATATCGATAAAAGATTTTTTTAAAAAAAGAGTAAATTTGCTACAAATACTCATTTCTGCCAGACGGGCGACGTTGTTAACGAGAGTAGCCCTGGTGATTTAAATATTTGTTTCTACAGTTCTAGACATGATAGTAACACAAGAAATAGTACATGTAATGCTAATCAATAGATTTAACCTGAAATGGTATCAGGTTTAAATTACCATTGCCCTTTTACATGTACATGTACTTGAATATACATGTACATGTACAGAGTATATATAAGTAGTACAGGTTCAAATCGTCACTTGAAGCTGAGTTGCAACTCGTTAGTACGTTTTGCTTACCCATTTGGATGGGATAAAAATGAGATTCACCAACAAGTCTAGACTCTTGGCAATTTGAATTCAGGAAAGATTACAAGAAAACATGATATCTAAAATCTAGTCAAAATTCTTCTTCCTGGCATTGTAAAATCTTATGGTTCCTACATGTAGCCTACATGTGTACATGTATTGGCCGATAGGATAAAAACTGAGATTCACCAATGTACAGAGTACATACACCATGACAGTTTGGATTCAGGAACGAGTACAAGAAAATGTGATATCGAGACAAAATTCTCCTTCCTGGCATTGTCAAATCTCATGGTTCCTACATGTACATGTATTAGCTGATTCCAGAATTTGAACCCAGCACATTCAATTCAAACAGTTCAATTCCATATAAATACATAACTTTTTTTTTTCAGGTATTTTTTTTGCATTGCTTATGATGTTGATGATTTAAGAGAAAAGATGTCTCTCGTTGCAGGTATAATTAATTTTTATGTGTTTTCTGTTTGAATGCAGGCAATTTGATTAAAATTTAAATTGGATATTTATTTTTTTTCACACTTGTTTTGTAATTTAATATATTGGTCTACTGGGTAATTAAACATAAATGCAGGGTACATGTTAACAGTAAGGGAGCTTAAAGGAGCTAAATCGCTAACATTTGGGACCTAGAAATTGACAAAAGTGGGTCGCAACGCATATAATACTGTAATATGAATGTATATAAACTGATTTACATTCAATGGTTTCCGTTTTTACTCCAATGTCAAATCAGTTATGTTCGGCGAAATAAGCCAGCAGTCTCAATCGAGTGCAAATTTCTAGCATCTGGTTATTCCAGTCTACATACGCCGTTCGATTTGGTGCAATGTGTCTAGCCTCGTCCCTCGAGTCTCTTTTTACAACTGGGGCTGAAGCGCATTATGGTACACGATTCGTGTACCAATGGTAAAATGTTTATTTTGTCTTAAATATTGGATATCAAAAGCCCATCTTATTCGGGTAAGATCACAACATCAATGTTGATTTAATTTGACAAATAAATCGTGTTTTCAATGTTGAAGATTTTGGATGATATTGAGTTAGAGACTTAGCTACTTTAAATTCTTCTGTTAGATGTATATGTACATGTATCGCTAGCCAAATCATCCACAGTCTTCGACATCGCAAACAGGACTTATTGGTCAATTTAAATCAACATTGATGTTATCTTACCTTGATATCCAATATTTAAGACACATTGAAAATTTTAAACTTAGCACACGAATTGCGTGCCAGAATGCTTTCGGGGCGTCATTTGTAATGAGGGGATCATGATGATTAAGTGGGTAAGACGCTGGCTCGCTAGCCTGGAGGTCGGGTGTTCGATCCCGGCATTGACCAAGGAAGTCCATCCAGATTTTCCGGCGTGGTTCTCCCTTGTCAGTTCTGCAGGACGGAGGGCCTGACAAAGACAGTTGTCTAGTCGTTTGGATGGGACAAAAAACTGTAGTGCCACTGTCCAGGCAAAATTTCCCTCATAGCACACTGTATGGCATATGTCCGTCTTCATTAGCCCAGTTCGGAGCAGAACAGTAGGACGTTAAATCCCATTTCATTTGTAATGAACGAGGATAAACATACCTCACAAGGGAAGACTACCGGAGCAGACTGGAATAACCAGATGCCAAAGGCTGTCATTTAATTTGCACTCTGCATATTTCGCCGAACATACATGTAACTGATTTTGTTATACAATTAACTGATTAGAAATTAGAGTAAAAACAAAAACAAGTAAATGTAAATCAGTGTATATACATTCATATAACATTATTATATGCGTTGCAACCCGTTTGTGTATTTCTAGGTGCCAAAGAATAGCGATATAGCTCCTTTAAAATATTTCCTAGTTTGCATTAGTGCTCCTACAACTAGTCGGATAGCCGTAAACGGTTAGAACTGGACGGTTAAACGGTTCGAATTCAACGGTACGGTTATTCGGAGATGTCCCCCATTACATAGAGTTGTGTCTGATTATATTCCTCTTTATAACAAAACTTGCCCGTTGTCATTTTGTATTTGATGTTTGAAAATCTTAGAATGTACATGTAACAGTCGTCCTACGATGTCGACTGCTAAAAAATAATACTATTAATAGCACTCGTCGTAGTCATACGGCAAAGTCAACGGACCTTGTTCTGACTTTTGCTACTGTTAATCTAATCTAAATACTTCTCGGCATTTCTAACTACATGTATATTCTACCTTGTTTATTATTTACTTCAAAACGTAACCACCATTCAAAATATAATCATAAAGGCTAGAAAATGACATTATACTAGATTCGTTACGACATTCAACAAGTTTCATATCTCGCAATTTCTCGCAAGAATTCTACTTTGGTTTTTAGTTAAATTAACCAATCATAAAAATTCTACTTGCAAGTGAGGAATTATTTCTTTATTGTCCAATCAATAGACGCCTTCCAATTTACGAAGGGAAATAGAGTATTGTTTTGTATATCATCGTTATATTGAATTAAAAAATGTTTCAAATGAACCAAGTTATCCAGGTAAATAAATAACTACGGCCTTAGATAGTTTAAATTTTCATTAAAAAATTATATATGTCTGAAAAAATTCCTGAAATTTTTGCGCGTGTAATGCCTTTCAGGCAAGTATAGCGTGTGCACGAGTAATGACTCGCACCTCCTGACAAGTTCTGTTTTATGTTTAAAATTGATACCATATGGTTAACGGTTACTAACCGGTTAATAATTACGGCTATTCGAATAACAAAAAGTCCTAACCGTAGGAGCACTAGTTTGCATTTAGTGGATGTTAAATCCCATTTCTCTCCTCTTTCTCAAACAATTCCTGATATTTATTTAAGCCTCTTTAGATACCGTATAAAAATTAGAATATCGTTTTGTGAATATAAAAACCCTAGGTCCAAATGCTCTTCTTGGAGATATTTAATTATGACCTTGTATTCGATCGTGAAATTTGGAAACTACATGCAGTGTCAGATAAACTGTCAAATAAGAAGTATCTTTTTGTACCCTTACAAAAAGAGAAAATGAGATTTGGTGAATGAAATCTGTACATCAGGTTGTGCCAATTGAAGGATTTAATTAGGAGGTATTGATTTTAGCAGAGAGCAAGTGTTAATGGCATCCAAAGCTTTCAGAAATGAAAGCAATTTACAGGAAATTAGAGTTTCTGAAAGAAATGGAAATAACTGAACCAGAGGCGATTCTTTCCATTTAGCAAATAACATTTTGTGTGAAATGTACAATGATACTTTACTACATGGAATACTTGTACTCAAGGTTTTTAACGTCTTATCATTTAGAATGTTTGAAATGAGTTAAATCAGCTAATCTAATTGATAACACAAGTCCAATTACCGGTAAAGTTGACACAAGTCCAATTACTGGTAAAGTTGAAAAGTTGAATTGTGAAAAATCATCATATTTAATCAAAAAGGTGAAATGTAATTGTATAAATTTAATTCGTTTGGATGTCATCTTTTATGTGTGCATGTACCAGTGTGTTATATGCTTAATAACAACTTGTGAAATCTTGTTGAAACATCGCAGTGAAATAAACCATAGTAATTGTTATCTATAAATAGTGTGTTATTTGATTATGTTCAAATTACTATTAAATGCCAAAACAAAACTGACACAGTTAAATGGGACAACAATCACTGTTTGTGTATAATAAACCAGTGATTGTTGTCCCATATAACTGTGTCAGTTTTGTTATGTTTCCAATACATGTAGCTAAATGCCACTAAAGGATTATATTTACTAAATGCCATTTAAAGAATATACCGGTGTGTCACAAGATGAATTTCTTGATATACCGGTACATGTATTTTGTAAAATGTCTCATTATGAGGAAAATTTGAAGCAACATGTACACCCAACTTAAATTTCAATAGTCTTGTGAAAAAAATCAAAACATAATTTAGAAGACTGACTTCCATTTTGTCTTACATAATGTAAATTTAATTGTATAGATGTTACTTTTCAACTAGACTGAATTAACACATCATGTTAACCCATTTCATTGTCCCTGTTCCTTTAATACTTGTTCTGTTTTCTTTTCTATTTTAGACAGTGAACAAGCTGCTGATATTGTAGATCGCCTACAAGCTCGTCTACAAGAAGAGGGTGATTTTTCTCGAGATGACGAACTATCATCCGTTATTTGCATGTTGGAGAGTCCATTGTTTCACCAACTTCTAACCTTACAAGAATCTATTCAAGAGCTGAAACATATATCTGATAATGAACCTCTCACTGAAGATAGTTTTGATTTCTCTTCTTCTGGGAAACTTCATCTTCAACCCAGTCATGGTCACATGCGGGATGTGGGTCATATGAGATACGATGACGACGAGGTTTTAAGTGATACAGCAACCTTAGATTTGCGAAAAACATATTTGAACAATGCAATATCAACACACAACTATAAAATTGAGTTTCAAAAAGCCATACAAAATTCTGCTCACTCCAGAAAAGTTGAAACTATTAAGTTATTCAAGCCAGACAATAGTTCGTTGGGTTTCAGTGTGGTTGGTTTAAAGAGTGAAAATCATGGTGAACTAGGTATATTTGTACAAGATATTCAACCTGGAGGAATAGCTGCCAAGTAAGTAATATTAAAATGGTTAGACATCTTTGATTTTAGTAAAATATACATGACAGTGGTGATTTAATTAAATTTGTCAACATTGAAATTTTTAGGTCTTCAAATAGAACCAATTAGCTGATTTTTTGTATACTTGTTTCAGCCAAAAATGATACTAAAACTAATTATCAACCAACTTCCGGTTAATATATTTAGTAATGAAAATTTAATCGTATCGATGTTGTCGCTAATTACATTTACCTAGTGCTCAACCAAATTCAACTTTTGACTCTTAAGGTTGACTTAAATCAAAGAGCTTTAGTGTCTTAAAAAATGATTTTTAGACATGTATGATCAAGTTCAATGTCAATATACTAACGTAAGGGTAGGAAGATGGCGCCTCCTAGACATCCATGTTTTTTCCTAGTTTAAGGTCCCATTGTTTTTGTGACAGTCCAGAAGTTTCTTTAAATATTTCACACAGATTTCCAATATAAAAATACTTTACATTAAACATTGATTCAAAGATCTACATGTATGCCAAACCATTCTGTAAGAAGTTATTTGATTTAGAAATATTAGCAAGTGGTAGATCTACTGTTTTGTTAATAAGATGTACAAAGGACTGGGATATGCAATGTATCAGCAAGAAATTCATATTTTTACACAGCCACATATTTATTTGGGTGTATATTGTTATTGCCCCTGTCCGTCCATCCGCATTTTGTTTGTGGACACACTATGGGTCACAGTTTTTATCAGATTTTGACAAAGCTTGAAATGTAGGTTTACATTGCATCACCAAAGATCTTGGTTCCTTTCGATATTGGTGTGTATCGGACCATAACTTTTTGGCTTGTGGACACGGTAGAGGTCACAATTTTTATCCGAATTTAATGAAATTTGAAGAAATGTATATTTTTAGATTTTATAAGATTGTTAAAATATTAATTTATATGCCGCCCTCATGTTAGATTGAACTTAGCTTTTTTATTTCTAGCTGTCAAAATTGTTTAAAGTAAATTAAAGGAGGCAAGGACTCTTAACTTAATATCATCCACCGTCTTCAACACTGTTGTTTTCCTACTGTTAAAATAAGACAAAATTGAAATTTTAAAATTGGCACAAGAATCACATGCCAGAATTACTTAAAATGTCACTTATATTGAAGCAACTCGATGAACAAGGCTAAACATATCCCACGGGAGAATACTACCAGAGTAGTAGACGCCAAAGACTGCCATTCAATTTGGACTCTTCGCATATTTTGCCGAACATATCTGATTAGAAATTACAGTAAACACAGAAACAATTGAATGTAAATCAGTTTTACATATATTCATATTACATTTTTACACCGGTATGTATTGCGACCTATTTGTCCATTTCTACATGTACATGTAGGTGCCATAGAATAGAGATTTAGCGCCTTTAAAGGAGCATTATGGGAGATTAGATAAAGTGTTGACAGTTCTCACTATAATAGTTAAAAAATAGATAACGTAAATAGAATACGCTGAAAATTTCTGTCAAATTGCTCCACTCTAAACCGAGATAATAGCTTTTGAAGCTTCGATCATCATTACTAAAGTCAGAATGATAAAAAAACAAAGTCTTGATTATCCATGTTTACGTTAATTATCCTTCACAAAATGTATTTCAATCTGCTAAATATCACAGGCTAGCGTTGACATCGAGAGTTGATTATGGTCTGGATAAGTTAATTAATGTCTAATTAATAATTTAGATAACATTTCAGGCCTAAAGAAAGACCTGCAATAGACAGATTTAGCTCTTGCATAATGTATGTATTGTTTAATATAAAATAGTTTTGATATTCTAAGGCCTATCACTCATCCAGTGAAAGTTAGACTTGTTTAACACAATTAATTTTAATCCAAGAGTAAGTAACTGATACATTTCTAAAAAATTAGCTGGGTGGGGCGGTCAAGATTTCAGTATGTTTTAGGTCTTAATTTAAATACTGTAGATATATATTTAACTGTATTAGTATATGTGCTTATTTATTTAATTAGTGATGATAAAAAGAGAAACTATTGTAAGGTAAGGATTTGTCAATATATTTGGAGATATTTATTCTTGTGGCACCCTAAAAATGTTTTCTGTTTTGATTCAACATAAGACAATTTAAATTATTAAAAACCAAAATTATTCCTCACAAAATTTCTTTGCTTTATTTGATAAAATGTTACATGTACATACATGTAGTAATAGAAAATGCGCAAAGCAAAATCTTAACCATACACTTTGTTCCAACACTAAATCCAATTATAATGCCATCATAAACCTATAAAATCAAGTTATCAAAAGTATATTATTATAATAGCATGTCAAAGACATATTTACTGTTAACGAGAAGAAGCAGAAACCAGACTCTCTTTCTCCTTGGATTAAATCCAAAATTTATTTGAAGTCCAAGAGGCCATGACATAGAAATTTCCCCACTGGAAGGTTAATGGGGTAATTGTCAGAAAAGTGTAGCCCAAAGCAAAGAAAGTGAGTCAGACATGGTTGAAGATTGGTGATTTGAAGTCCACTAATAGAGATATTGACCATAATGGGAACCAAAATCAATTTCTTGCTTCATTGAGTGTACAGAGTAGAGATCTCCCTCACAAGGGAGATAATCCTAACCAGCTTAGAGTAACTGGTTCTTTTATCAATTGATTTTATATTGGACGTATAAAATATCCATTTAATAACATCTGCTTGAAACTAAGGCCTTTCAGAAATGTCTTATCTTTGCTATGAGTAAAAAATCCAGTTACTATTATGAAGTACATTTTACTTGTGCAGTTTGATACAAGGTGGTGGGGTTTTTTTTGCTGGGGGGGACACAATTTTCCTATAATCTGTGTAATGATTTGAATAGATTAGACGAAGTAAATTGATTCTGTAGAGTGAAAGGAAGTACAAATTTATCACGCAATTCATCTCAGCGTTATGTTGACATAAAAACACTACAAAGTTTGAAGCTTTTTATATTATTTCGTTCAATTTTCTGATATCCGTCTGAAATTTCTTTTTTTGCACAAAATGATTAAATTTCACAACAATAAACTTTTTAACCGTTCTCCATATAATGTCTAGGGGAAAATCTTTGGATTTTTTGGGGGGTAAATTGCTTTGTTGGTGACAATAGAAAAAGCCAATGTTGAAACAGTCAGTTATGTACTCTCGTGTCGACACAGGAAGAAAAAAATGAAAATAATAATGTTGATAGACAAGTTGCCTTACGCTGATTGTAATCTTTCAAAACAAGAATTTAATCCTGGAAATTTTGCCCCATTTCTGATTAAAATAACAAATCAAATCAACTTTCTGTCCATAGTTTTTTTTTTATCTGAATCAAAAAACATGTAGTGGTGAAATATGTATATTGTACACCCACAATCTTTATGGGCTTTGAAATGATAGAAATGTTGGCATTTGCAAATTGGCTGTTGGTTTTTTTTTATATAAATGCTGAATGCCACAAGGCAGCTGACTCATGGATTTTTAACTTTAAAAGATAATTTTTAAGGAATTTTATCTAAAAAATATTAAATAATAAAATTGTACAGATTGAAATATGTTTTTAGATCAAGGAACACAGAATTTAAACTTTGTACCCTTCAGTCAGAAAATAAAATTACTTTTGTTACAAGTAGCGTTTTCTTTTTTATAGATAAAAAATTTGGACCGGTATATACATCACAAAACTCAATTTAAAATGAATATCTTTATAGTGTCATTTCGCATGTTCCAATTTACTCTAGATATTAGGTTTTTTGCAGACGGTTTCTGAAGGAGTTATTATTATGAAGTTTTGAAATGTCAGACTTCCCGCAAGTAATTTTCTCATCAAATAGGCTGATGATCTATCATATAATGCAGTTTATCATGAACCTTCAGATAACCAATATCACAGTTTGTGCTAGACTTAATTAATCTGTGGTCCCACCATCTTACTAGTAAATTTAGAATCAATCCAAAAAGCACAGATTGGCTTTCATCTTTGCTAGACAACAATTGAAGTTCGAGTAAATTGAGGGAATTCATGCCCAGTCAGATATCGCAAATTGCCATGCTAATAACAATGAATAAATGAATGTAGTATTGGGATTATTTAACAGACTTTACTCCTTATTCCTGTAATCGTTCTAGTTATCCGTTAGTTTTGTACTTTCGCTACTCCTGTCATCTTCTACTTGTGTCACCGATATGAAGAGTGTCTATTGGAAGTTGTTGACCCATACTCGGAAACATGTTATCTTTGTTTTGCCGATTGACTTTCGCAAGACTAATAATTGGTCATTAACTAGACACAAGATACCGTGAGATTTTCTTCTTGTGCATGTAAATCCTTTTAATATACATGTATGCTTATGCCCAGCTTGTAAAATAGCTTTATGTTGCCTTAGATGGTCACTTTAAAGGATACTGTTGACTTGGGATTTGTCGGTTGACATTTGTAAGACTAATAATTGGTCATTAACTGGACACAAGATGCCGTGAGATTTTCTTCTTGTACATATAAATCCTTTTAATATATGCTTATGCCCATTTTGTAACTTAGCTTTATGTTGCCATCATTGATCACTTTAAAGGATACAATTGCCTCGGATTTGTCGGTTGACTTTTGTAAAACTAATTATTGGTCATTAACTAAAGAAGATGCTCTAGTAGTACATGTAAGTGCAGGGGGACTGCACCACACATAGTTTACACAAGAACAAATCTACGGACAAGACACAATACGCAGAAATCACGAACATATCAAATTAAGTTAATGGATCCGGGGGCTAGCCGTAAGCGTCCACTGCGCTGTACAGTCCTGGGTCTGTAGTGATACAAACTTCACTCAAATTTGAAAACAATCAGGAATATTCTTCCATTAAATCTTTTAAAGTTGCAATTTCATATTTTTAAGTTATATTTTTAAAATTTATTAAAATAAAGCCTTAAAATAGATGGTATCTATAAACAGTCCTACCTTGTTAAAGAATAATCCTATTAAT